CCCCCCCCCCCCCCCCCAAAATCTATCCAATAGATGTTGAAGAGAGCTTTGGGTGGGCACACCAGAGAGGAAGAGCTGGCGGATGAAGACAGCCTGTCTCAGCACAGTGACAGTGTCATGGACTATTGCCAAAGGAAAGCTGAGCGAGGTAACAATTCTTAGGCCAGTTAAGTATTAAGATGGAAAGGAATATTAAAAAAAAAAAAATCCTTCTTGTATAAAGCTGAAAGTAACTAACTATGAGTAGTTCAGTGTAAGTTTTGTATTGTTAGTTCACTTACATTTTGTCTTAGATCCAAACCTGAGCAACAGTAACAGAATTACAATTAAGCTCCCATTTCACACATAAATAGCTATGGTAAAACTTTACTAAAAATACAAGGCAATCACAACTGCAATAACAAATGTACAGTAAGCGGGGGGAGGGACAGACTACAAGCTCATTGATAGGACTGTGATTCTGAAATGAGGGCCTGTTCACAAAACACTTAACTGCAGATTGCTCTGTGCTGGACACAGCATCTACATCAAAGTATCTGTTACTTTGTTACTCTGTGCAGTATGTGTGCTGGTAGCAATATGAATTAATAACCACCCTACATGCACACCAGGCTATAAAACTATCATGGAGCTTGATCTAATCCACATGCATGAAATTATACTGCAAGATGGAGCTGTTTGTGACCCTGACATATTGACAGCCTCTCACCTTGAGCCACCTTCAATTGTCTTTGCTGCTTTTTCCTTTCTCATCTTAAATATCTCCTGGCACTTTTGCTATTACTTACATAAGCCAAAAAAATGTGATCTGGGGCAAGGATGATTCTAAAGGAAAAGGCTTTAGCTTTTTATGACATAATTTGTGCTAAACTTTTTGATTCTTCTGCTGTATGGGTTTTTGGGGGCTTTTTTTCCTTAATGTTTGGCTGGAGGGGGTTTTTTTTGTTTCAAGTTAGATACTCAGTGAATTACCTTTCCTTACAGATGCAGCACCTCTGAGGCACCCAAACAGACCACGATCCCTTTCTCCAGCCTCACCCTCATCTCAGCGTCAGCTCTTTTCTGAGTTGGAAGATAAACTTCGCAGTAATGAAACAGGCCAAACAAGGAAAATACACAGCCAGTTGCAAAAAGAAAGGGGTGAAAGAACAAAAAAAGCAAAGGTAATTTCTAGGTTAGACCTTTTGGTTATTCTAACCAACAGCTATACTGATAGCATCAGAACGGAATGCTTTTACTTAATGGGAGCATCTGGCCGACTTTAGTAATCCCGTACTCTTGTTTCTGTAAACTGCTGAGGAAAAGACTTAAACCCCAAATTTTGGGGGGGGGAAAAAAAAAAAAAAAAAAAAAAAAAAAAAAAGAAAAAGAGAGAGAGACTTTAAAGTGGAAGAAGCTACTTTGACCCATACACTGAGAAAGTTAATGAGGTGCTCATATGGACTGATTATTTTGTCTGAAAAGTCCTCTTATTGTTATTTTCTAGATACTCGCTAAAGTTTATGAAGATGAACTAAGAATTTATGAAGCTCAGGAGAGGCTTAGACTTTCCAAGCTCAGAGAAGTCAACAGGGAAATGGTATGTGACGTGCTGTGGTGATTGCTGTTGGGGTTTTGTTCTAAATTGGTCTAGATGACCTGTCCAGACACCGGGTATGTCTTTTGGGTACAAACCCAAGTTTTGTACATAGTTACAGCAGTGTATGCTGCTAAAAGAACGACATCTTTTCCTGACACGGGTAGAACCAAGAGACATGTAGTTTTAAAAGCTTCAGCACTTCCATGTATTAAGAATAATTCCTATAATAATTAAGAACAACTACCATGCTTTTCACAAGGTGGTGACTTCAAGGCACTCAGACACTCAGATATTAAAGAACTAAAGCTGAGTGAGCAAGTAGATAGCTTCCATAGATTGGCTGAAACTCCACACACAGATATACATCCCGAACAACTAGGTTAATAAGGTCGGAGCCTCTGTACACAATCTGTTTAATATTGTTGTAGTCTGTAGTCTTTTTTAAGTACTCTAAAAGTTGGGTTTGTGCAAGGAGCATTTCTGAGCGTCTAATGTTATGAATATGGCAAATATCTATATGGGGTTTTGCTACTTTCTTACATACTACTGGAACAGCAAAGAACCTAATAATAATAACGTCCTAATAAGGTCAGCTGCACTGTCCCGCTTCACCAGCTTTGCAACATCAGTCCAAAGGCTGCTGCAGTAGTGTTACATGCTGCACAAGAGCTGAGGTTATGCAACAGTGAGCCTTAACCTTGACTTGAACCTTGACCTGCATTTGGTAAATTCTGGCCTTCTGGAGAATCCAATTCAGTATGTCCAAATTCTCTTCCTAAAGTTTCAAAGACATTTAAGTTCTGATACCCAAATTATGGGATCTTTCAGCCTTTCCCTTCTCATACCTGTTCTCCACCTGTTTTACATCTGCTCCTAAGGAACAAGAATACAAAGAAAACATCTTTAAAGAACCTCCAAAAATGCCTCAGCCAGTGAAAGTTTGTTCTAGAAAAACCACACCTCAGAATCCCAAATACAGCCAGCGGATTCCAAAACAAGGGACTGTGAAGCCAAAGAAAGCAGCTCCAAGTAAGAACTGCAAAACTATACTTGGTGGAAACCTGGCATCTTTTGAAAGCATGTGTTGAACTCCAAGAATAAAGGCATCAGTCCAACATATACCAGTCAGCTGTAGCATTTGCCCTTTCTTCTGACCTCTATATGTCTGGATTTTTGTTAGGAAGATAATGCTTTAAGTAAACGTAAACCTCCAATGCACAATCAAAACTGTAACCCATTTGCTACCTCCTTAAAATCCCTAGGATTATTTTCAAGGTTTGTTTCCATTACTGCTACTCCTATACTTGCTCTACTATAGTCTGAGCTCAGTCTTTTCCTTTTTCTTTTCTGAGCATCTATCAGATTTAAAATTGGGTCTGTAGCTTGAGTGGGCTGGTGCTGAGCCATATACAGATAACAGAACTGTCAATTTCTATCATCTTCCTTTCATGCTCCTGCCATTGCGGAGCCAACATTGTCACTGGTTTTGCTTAGGAAGTGATGCTCCAAGAACAGCCAACATGCAAACCACAGGCTCAGTTTTGGTAAACAGCATTGTGCATGCTTATGATCACGGTATAATCCCCTACAGAGCTGAATATTGCTCAGGTACACTGCCTTATTTTATTTTTTTTTTCAGTGTTTAAGGGGTATATACTTGGTTAGTACCCATTTGTTTCATCTCCCCATCACCTTTTCCAGCCAGAAAGATCAAAGAGGTAATGGGAATGAGCTGGTTGCAAACCAGTTCATTTTACATCTGTTTACTTGACTTGGATCTGTCACTACTACTGCTGTATTAGTTGCTGCAATCAGTGAGAGAGACAGATAAAGAAATCACTGATTAGTGATGGTCAGAACCATTTGAACAAAGAAGGGGACACTTGTCTTAATTGCATGTGGTGGTGGTAGGGAAATAATGGCTGAGATACAAAAGCAATTCTTCAGCAGGAAGAAAAAAAAACAAACTACAAAACAAACCAAAAGAGCCACCAACAAGAACTTGAGATTATTTTCTCTGCTGCTGCACTGACACAGTGATATTATGTCCTGCTGGGTTTAGGCTGACATCATAACGGCATGGCAGTTGTATATAGTGTTTAATCTAAAGTATTTCATAACCTAGGCTGACACTGTCTGGAACAATTTACCGCTAAATGTATTCTCCAGGAATTTATTGCTTACATCTGTCTTTACCTTGTAGTGAAAGTAAGAGATGATGACCTCCTATTTCAGCTACTGGAAGAGTTTCCCCACCTGCATATTTCCCACCATACTATGAATAAAATGTGGCGGCGGCAGCTTGCACACACTGAGCAACTTAAGGCAGCTTATGGCAGAACTAGACCACGACTCCAAAATGAAGTGAGCATTCGTATTCTTACATTTTAAGTACCAGCAGGGATAGTACCTCTCACAGAACAGGTAACAGACATTAGTTTGTATTGCATAATAAAGTACTAATAAAATCATCCCGACTCTGTCTGCAGCATAGATAAGGTATGTGCACACCCAAAGCACAGTATAAGAAGATGTGTATCTAGGCTTGGTTAGTTAAATAGGGATGTACACATCTACACACATGGGTTCAACTTTTTACCACCCACTTGAATATAATGTTCATTTTTAATAGTAGTTTATCTAGTACTGCCTAGGATTGCTATTGCTTTTTTGAAAGCATTTTGTAGCTTCAAATGCTTGTTCTGAACAGTCTTTTAGTTTAAGAATTAGTTATGAGATACAAAAATTGATTAACTCTCAGCATAAAAAACAAAACATAACTATAGGGCAATGATTAAAATGATGCACACAACTGCCTGTCCTGCAGAACAATGGAAGTAATTAGTTGTTTTTTTTTTTAAAACCTCCAGGTTCAACAAGCCCTTAAGAAGCATGAGCTGCTTCTTGCAATTATTAAAAAAGATCAAGACCATAACAAGAGACTGGTATGTTCTTTGAAGGATATTTGTTATATAAGACAAAAGTTTCATTTTGAACTAGCTTCAATGCATATCCCCTGGTCCATCAAAGTGGCGTTTAATCTTACAACAATTTTATGCCTTTTGTAGCCATGGGCTCAAATGCCATGTAATCTGTTTGCTGTGTGGCTACAGAAGTCACGGGAATGAACATTATTATTACACTGCACTGTTGCTTCAAAAGTGCAAACAAATTCTAAGAATGTGCCCGGAGGAGACACTTCAGGCTCCCGGTGTTGCTGGTGAAAACACCAGCTACCTTGGCAATGCTGACTCCTTAATTATATAGTGCTCTGGTTGGCATTGTTTTTCTAAATCAGTGGTGTCTAAAGCTTTAAACCATAAATGCAATGTAAAATTGAGGTAGGGAGAAGGTCCTTAGTAAAGGACCCTATTTATGTGCATTGCCTGCGGCAGTATCTATTGGAAGCTTGGTTGACAGCTTTGACTGTATTGACAGCTACTGTTCTCCATTTAGCAAGAATTTAAGCAACGTATCTGCCGACAGAAATGGGCTCAGAGTAAAGTGAGAGAGAAACGCCAGCAGATTGCTCGAGCTAGGAAATATTATGAAGATTACCGGGTTCAGCTGCGTGCCAAGATGATGCGGGCTAGGACACAGGAAGAAAGGGTAAGTACAAGATGTCTTGGCTCTGCAAGCGTGGAATTCTTCTTTTTGAAGCCCAGCACTAAGGACTCAAACTCTGGTAGTGTAAACACTGGTACAGGCAGACAGAGAGCATGCTAAGTGAACGTAGGAGCTAGCATTAAACAGTCAGTCAGGGCCTCAGAAGAAAAGGTTCCTTCTTTGGAAATGCTGATACAGTTTAGGGCAAACCACTGTAAAACAAGAAAGGGTGCTTTAGGGGGTTAAGAGATGGAGAAAAAGGGTGAATATCAGTATGGAAAAACAGGACTGGTAACATGAGAAATTGGGGAAATGAATTTTCAGAAACCGTAGGTTTAAGAGGTTGTTCCTACAGTTACTATCCAAAGAAAACAATCTAAATCTTAAGTTAAGGAAACTGATCAAAAAGACTGTTTAACAAATATAACTGAATAACAAAGCTAAGTGGACTTTTTGGCAGATACAATCTCTAATTAGGGCTGGACATCAGAGCTAAGGAAAGCAAGTAGAGTTATTACACTTTGCAAGAGCAGATACACAACTCTTACCTTTTAAAATAAAAGACTAGATGTTTAGTGCATAATCCACTATTGGTGATTTGAGAAGTGTTTGCCTCCAGCTGTGCAGCACTGCAGCTAGTAAGTGTTCCTTTGTATAAATGGAAAGCCTGAGCACAGGCTGCATTTCTTGCACGTGTGCAGAGGCTCTGGCTTGCGTTGTCAGGTTATCTGAAGTGATCTTAAAAATGTAATATACATTTGCTGTTCTTGCTCCTTTCTTAGTCAGATGACTAAACTGACATGAAAAATTTACTTTATCAGAATTTGAGCTGAGTAATACAAATACAGCTCAGCTGTATCTACCACCATTACCAGATACATAGCTCTACTTTTTCACGGGCAATGACCTCTCTTCGTGTGATCACCATTCCATCAACAGACTAAGCAGCTGAAAAATGTAAATGTTAAAAGCTTCTGGGAAGGCTTTAGGTTTGCTTTTTTTAATTGCATGCAGATATTTAAAAACTTATTTGAAGAAGGCTTAGAAATTCAGAAGCAAAGACTGAAGGACCTGAGAGCGTATGCTCAAGAGAAGCGAGCTGAGCAAAGGAGAGAGCATCAGAATGAGCTGGAGTCTATGGAGAACTATTACAAAGATCAGGTAAAGCTTAATCTGCAAAGACAGGAGTTTTGGTTTTTTCACACTAGAAGTCTTTCCTTTTTTTAATTGGTTCAACTCAAACGTGTGTTATGCTTAGTTTTCCATGCTAGCAGAAGCTTTATCTCAAGAACGCCAAGAAATCCAAACCAGAGAGAAAGCACAAGCACAAGTAAGTATTTGTAATTTTCTGTAATTGTATTTTCTTTTTATGTGCTATGACTAATGTCTGTATTTCCTTTAGATGCTACAGAAAACAAAGAGAGAATTGAGGTCAAGGATGGAACAGGAAATAGAGCAACTGCAGGCAGCAATAATGCAAAATAATGATGACACCTTTTTTCAAGAACTGGAAGCAGACAGACTGAAATCCAGACTTCAGATGGCTTCCTTCCAGTACAGCAAAAGCCATTTCTTGTAAGACTTACAGTAAGTACCACTGAAACAGTCTCTCTGGACAGGAGTATAAGAGTCTTTGAGAGCTGCTTGAACAGGAAGATGATGTGTGACTGTGTTTTCCTCTAAAATATCTGGTCTGTCACTTCGATGGCCGAGGTGTAGCTGCTGGGATCTGGGATCTCTACAGTACTTTTATTGCTTACCAATAAAGTTTTTAAACTACTTTCTACCTTCTTAGCAAGGCTGAGATAATGTTGAGCTGCACACAAAGGAAGTGGGATGATTACTGGAGTTATCTTAGTGGAACATTGAATGCTAAGCCTCCCCTATGGCTGTGCTGGTGTTGCTGGAGTCAAAAAGCTACACTAACACCATTAGCCAGAAATTACTGCATTGGGAAACTTGGAACAAGAAGATCTTTAAAAGAACATCTGTGGTTCAAGTTTCCTGTGAAAGGACAAGTTAGAGAATGTCTACAATAAAGCTGACATAAAAATTGGTATTTTCAATATGTTAACCAAGGGAGGGCTACTTATTCTATGTTTGCAGTTTTGGTGTTGCTGGCTTGTTAAGGGCAAAGCATGTAAGTACTACTTCCTATGGTAGTGATATAGCTGAAAGTATCTTGAAGTAGGAAACAATGTAAATTCTTTTAAAGCAGTAAAGTACAAGCTTCTGCAAGAACTGAAACCTACGAAGGACCTGCGGCCAGCATTCCTAATTATTTTCAAAAGGGGTGTAGTAATGCATGTATGTGCTGTAGGTGTTTCTGTAGGTATTTCAATTGTTGGATTTCACACAGGGTTTTCAAAAGTAGCCCATGTGTAAACAAGCAAAGTTTTGTTTCCACTGACTGTTTCAAAAGGAAGTCACAGCAATGCCACATACAAACAGATGGGCAATAACAACCACAGTAGTTTAGCATGTTTGGTCTTAAAAGCAGATTATTTGGACAGACGTTTTGCAAGGGTGCTTGTATTTAGTACCCCGTTTAGTTATTTTACAGAGAAGCAGATTAGTTCTACTTCTGTCAGTGTGAAGCTTGAGTAAATAATGATTAAAAATTCCAACGTTCAGCTTTAACCTTACTTTAGGGTGTAAGGTCTGTTTGTAGGCAGAGTAGGAGCTGACAAAAGACATTACACCTTTTTCTTATAGAATCATCATGTGCTATAAACAATACTTTGTTCAGCAGAAAATTCAAGTTTCAGCAGCCACACGTTATGGGCCCTACGAGATGCAAACACAGAGGGATGAATACTTAAACTGAGAACAGATCACACAAAACCAAGTCATTACTGATATATTCTCTGCTTGACAAAACTGCTATTTTAAAATAGTTTATCTTGGTAATGAGGGTCAACTAAAGTGTCATTTTAAACAGGCTCTCATAGAAGAGCTCTTGCTTAAAATTGCATGTGTGAAATACTGGAATTAATTGCATTGCATATACAATATTTAAAGCTTGCCACGAGATGGTGTCACTTGTGGAACTGACATCACACTCAATGAATTAAGATCCATGGATTGGGAAGAAAAAAAAGAGATAAGCAGACAAGAAAGCCCCCAGCAGCTGGAGATGCTTCCTTTACAGATTAAACAAAACAGCAGTTAGAGCATGATACACCTCGCAAAAAACCAAAAACAAAACCAAACACAAACAAAAAATCAAAACCCCCATCAAAACCAAACCCCAAAACACACACACTGAAAAACCTCCACAAAATGAGAAACCCAAACCCGGCCTTTCTTAACAATCCTTTCCAGGGAGCTGCTACAAGCCAGGCTAATTGAAAGTCTTTATCTAAGAAACAATATTTACCAGTTAAGTTGATCAAATTTAACAAGTATTTACCATTTACCTTTTTTCTTCCCTTCAGGAAGATGGCTTAGCTTTGCTGAATTTTGAGAGGAGACATCCATTCACCAATGCTGAGACGCCATTACTAGAACATTTAACACAACCCTTATTCTAGCTAACAGAAAGACACCAAATTTTGAGCAATTTCTCCTTAAACAGAGTTACTTAAAAATGATACTCTTACATTGTAAAGGAAATATTTAATTAAGAAAAACTTAAAATTTTTAAAACCATTGATGCTGTGACAGTGCAAACAGCATACAATTTATTGCTCAATTTCTGCATGGGTACATACATTAAGTACTTAAAAACCGCTTTATACAGATTTTTTTTTTTGTTAAAGCTCATGTAACAGCTGGGTGAAAATACAATGATAGCAATGCTAAAACACTCTGTAATAAATACAATGGAAATGATAAACTAAGAACTGTCAGTTTGTGGAGGAGTAATTACACTTGTATTAACTAATTACAACTACAGACAAAGCTCTGAGGATGTGGCAGAGCCAGAAACCTACTACATAGTGTGAAGTCCAATAGATGGCACCTGATAACTGTGTGGTGCTGTTTAAGATCTGAAGCAGTCAGAGCATGCTACATTAAGCTGTATGATGCAGACTTGGGATATAGAAGCAAAGCCTTTACTTCCATCAATGCAGCCAGTTTAAATGCACCAGAAATTCAATACAGGCGTAGTGTTGTAGACCAAGAATTTAAGAAACGGCTTGTGTGCTCTGGACTTTAGTACAACACAAAAATTTGGTACAAATAAATCAGTTTAGGGAAACTGAAACTATGTGCAAAAAAAATTAGAATACATACTGTACAAAGCACCATTACAAAACTCTTTACACCGAGAAATTAAATCCTCTGAAACTCAACTGTGTACTGTATATTGAAATCTACAAAAGTCACTGTTCATAATTAAACATTCATAATGAAAAGCAACAGCATAAAACCATGATGTGACATCTCTCTAAAACAACTAAAGACTGGATAAAGTAAAACCCAGTAAGAGGGACACATTGAAATAAATATTCACATTAATCATGGGGTGAAAAGTCCAAGGTTAAAATGCAATATTAGGCTTAGCACCTTTTTGAGGGGAAAGTAGCTGACAAGATCTCGAAACAAAATTTTGCAAAGGAATCAACCCTTTAACATTTTCAGATAAACAACTGATGAGGTGCTTTCGTTAAAGCTCTCAGTCATTAGGAAGGTAGAAAGGCACTCAAGATACTTGGTATATTCAGCCTCATCTGTCAGCTATGGAAATTCAAATGTAGATTTGTCTACTTTTGCCTATAATATATTAAATTTCAATATTTATCTGTGGCAATTAAAAAAAAAAAACCAACTATGCCCTGCCAAAATGTTTGGCAGAACAGACGTACTGCTAAGGCTGCTGTGAAAATGAACGGTAGTTATCAGCTGAGTCAGAGTCTATATTCTGCAGAGCTCATCTCTTCCTCCTCAAAAAAGCTTTTATGACATAAGGGTGGCCATAACTGTGCCTTCAAAAATCTACCAGCCCAAGCGGGCTGACAGGGAGAAGGTTGCTGGGAGGTGGGTGTGGATGGTGTGGTCAGGAGCCACAACAGAGACAGATTTTTAGCCAGTGCTGAGGGGGCTGCCTGGTGCAGAGAGCACTCTCCCCTCCAATCACCTACCAGAGTACCAGCTTCTCCCAAAGGCTGGATCAAGCTGCATTTTACACTTTTCATGCTTCATGACTAGGGAGGCTGCAGCCAGAGCCTGAGCAAGAGCAGGGGGGGGGAATAAAGAACCACTTGTCCAACACTGTCTGTGTAAAGGGGTCAAAAGAACCTGTCCCTGTGAAGTCTCTGTACACAGAATTGACAGCACACCTCAAAACTTGGCAGGGGGGAGTGTGGGAGATGTGAGAAAAGGCTTCAGGAGCGTCTGAAGCAGTGGTCCCAGCCGCAGGCAGCAGAACTGAGTACAAAACCCTGGCCAACGATCTACTTTGCTCTCCCAGGCAACCTGGCCAGATGTGGTGGTGGCTTCTCTGGTAAGAGGACTATCTGAAAGCCGTGCACTGGGGATGACAGCTGGAGATGCAAAAATAATGGCTGTTGTACATGAGTGTAATTGGCCCTTGAAATGAAGAAAAAAAGGGTCTGACATATTTCAAACCTGGTTGTCAAAGCAAGTTTCTTAGCTTTATGTTTACATCCCTAAGTAGCCTCATCCCTGCAGCCAGCCCCAAATGGGAAGCGTCTCTTAGAACAAACCTTCCAGCAACAGCTGTACAAAAAATAAAAAAAAAAAAAAAAATAAAAGGAGCATGTGGATTTGGCTCATCAGATTCTTACCACAATTCTACAACAGCAGCCCATTGCCCGCTATCCTAATACTCAACATCCAGCAGTAGTTTACTCACTGCAGCAGTCAGATTTGGCAGAACAAAATTAAGTTCAGGCTCTACAGAACAGACAGAAAATTAGCCAGTTCACTGTGAGACTTACACTGCAAAGATGGAACAGCTCTTTACATCCCATTCTTTCAGCATTTTCAATACCCCTGACTTTCTTCTCATTAGCAGTGTAAAAATAGTGCAGATTTGATGACTAATCATAACCTAAATTAACAAAATGCACCACTGATTAGAAAAAAACAGCTACTTATTCCAAATGTTCACACCGCTGAGAAGAGAATGCCACCATCTCTTAAGCAGACTGATTTATCTACCCACCACGAGCAGATCAGACAGATCTTAACTGAGAATTGTCAAACTAACTTCGAAGTTCAGTTCCCTCTACCGGTAGTGCATTTTATTTCCCCTTTGAAGAGATCAACCCATGTTATAATTCATATATATACTTACTTCCATCCCTACAATCAATAAATTATGTGCTTTTAAAACCTCATTTGCAAAGCACATTACACATATTTCAGCTCATACACCGTTTTTACCTAGTTGTAACTGAAACCCACATGTCATGAGCAGCTGGACAAAGATTACAACATGTTTTACCTGATATATCTTTAGCATCAACAAATACAGAATGTGATTTGGCTGCATTCAAACACACTTTGGTTGACTGGACAGGATGGTTTCTGAAATGAACTGCTGAGAGGCTTCTGCTGTCAAATGTCACCTCACCAGCACACTTAAAAAGTTGGAAAATGCAGTGTTTAAAGTCAAAAGCAACAAAAAATACTCTTGACACACTTGTTAGAAAAATGCTGTTTTAAAAAAATCAAAACGTCTACTGTTCATTAAAAAAGGTCTATTCTACATTTCAACACAAGTACTGTACCAAATACAGTATGTGTCACTCACACTAGAAATTTGTTTAAGGAATCTGACGTGATATAAATAGAATCCCAAAACATCGTATTTGTAATTCATGCCTGAAAAATATAAAAAAGCCCCCTGTGGTAACATTTAAGTTCGAATTTACATTGCAGAATATAATGTTTTACTATAAGAAAACGCAGTTAACATGTAAGTGGCTTTAATTAAAAAGATTAATGATTTTTTCAGCCAATTTTATGCAAAGTTAGAATAATCCAAAATATTTTTTCCAAAAATAGCAGGAATAGATGCTGTTCAGTATCATACATCTAAAACAGGCTGAAACATGACTTGTACCGACTGCTGAAGTTGTGTCTTGGTATCTGAGAATAGAAATCAGGTAGGCAAATATAATAGATTACCTATTACAAAAATAGTAGTAGTCTTTAAGTATAGAATACTGCTTAACTGTTGAAATGTAGGAAAAGTCAGCATTCTGTATGTTCAAGATACTAGTTTTTAATAGCAGCTGAATGATCCTATGGCAGAAACCACAGAACCTATTTTCTTGAAATAAAAAAAAAAAAAAAAAAAAAAAAAAAAAATTCCAAAGTTGTCCTTTCCCTCCCAGTGTCCTAGTGTAGAAAAGGGAAAGTTTCCTGTATTTCAAGCATTTCTTGAGTCTTGGCTGAGGGAAGGGCTTTCTGGCTGACAGGAGTATAAATAGAGTCTTGGGGAAGGCTGTGAAGGGTCATTCCACAGCAAACCCACACGTTTCTTCAATAGCAGTTAGCAGCTTCTCATAGAGCTTCTCGTAGCTCTCGTAAGGAGGAATGTCTATTCGGTTAAAGCTGTGGAGAGAAGGCAGAACAGTCTCAGCTCCCCAGAATGTCAGGCATCACCCAGCAAAGCTCTGTTACACTTCATTTATCATGCTTGAAACAGTGACAAAACAATACTCAACAAGGGCAACAGAACTTCACAGATATAAAAGCAATCTCTAGTTTTCGCACCTTTACTACTCTGCAATGGATAGTGTTTATTATCTCAGAAAATGAGGGATGGGGGGAAAGAAAAACAACCAAAAAAGAGACTGCTCAAAATATAGAGACAGCAAATTGACCTTATTCTATAGATCGCAACAGAGGTCTGAAAAAGTCTTACCAGGTATGAGCTTTCGGCAAGTTGTTAGTGCTGGCATCAATCTGGTGTATTGTAAATAGTCGTGGGCCTGCAGCACCTGAAAATCCAGAAAAGATCTGTACTACTACTGTATGGCATAACATGAAATTTCTTCGTTGCACTGCAACAACATAAAAGTAACTAAAATCCATAAAAAGAGAAGCTGTGCAGAAAGAAAGGAGAAATCATAAACAGGCAGGATAAAAAAACCTCACTGTGCTTATCAGACAGATTCCTCCTCTCCACCCACACAGGATAACTGTCCAGTTCTTTAAATCATTGAAAGATAAAGAAGATAACAACGAATAAAATACCTGTTTTACACAGTGCACTATATATTTCTCTCACCCTTCTTAGAGCATTAAACTTACACAACTGTTTCTGTCATTTTATAACAAGAAGTAGTGGCCGATTCCATACAAATTCAATACACATCAAAATACCATCTTATAATTTTGTTAAATTAATCTGAGCATAGAGATCCCCTATGTACAGTAGGGGTAAATTTAACTTGTAACTGTTCTGGGGTGGTTAAGAGTTACATGGTTTGCCTCCACCTTCTGCAATGTTAAACACTTACCATCTGAAGTATCATACTTTGCTTAAAGTAACTGGGGTCTTAAAAAACTCCATATTCCAGAGCTTCTAACGTACCTTAATATTTTAGAGGTCAAGAATAGAGGAAAAAGAAAACAAGGCCTTCTGTCTTATAATGAAGAAAAACAGATTTCTAGGGCAACTGGCTTTTCTGTGTGGCAGCTGTTATCATAGCATTTGTGTTTACGTTTCCCCTGGGCATTTTTCTCTTGTCTTTGGGAGAGGGTAAAATAGGATAACTTGCATTAACAGAGCAGTATGGGCTGTGGCCAAAGCTGCGACAACAGACCCAGAGCTTTGACCGAAGTTCAGAAGACAGGTCGCTAATTAAGGTGATTGTTTCCGATCCCTCTGTGATTATGTGGCTCTCACAATAAAAGCAGTCAGCGTTAGGAAGCGCCTCTGCTGTCAGAATCACAGAATGCTGCATGTTGGTGTTTTCTGGTCCCAGGTGACGAGCGCTTGTGAAATACAGAAATTAAAAAACAGGCTTCCAGAGAAAACATAAGGAGAACCACACTAAGATCTCTTCTGCTCAGAGCTTCTTGCCAGGGAAGGAGGTGTATAATTTAAACAAAAGAGCCATTTACAGCTGAGTAACAAGGTAATATTTGTGATTGTTCTCCATCAGACCATTAAAAGCTACTCGTAAGAAGTCTCACTGCAGCCAATCAGGCTCCTGTGCAGCTGATGTTCCTGTGATGTGTCCTATGGCCCCCTCCCAGTAAAGATTCGCAGTCCCTTCTGGAGAATTCTCACCTTGTAGTGCTTTGAAGCCCTGCAGAGGCACTCGGGAGGAGCCAGTCACAAACTGGAGAAGTCGTGCTCTCCTCTCTTCATCAAAAAACTCCACAGCTTTCCAGAACCATTTCACAATGTTGCTGTCTGGGGTACAGTGTTTTAACCTAGTATTTGCCTTCCAGTCGTTAACATCAATTTTTCCCAGTCCACAAATGATGAGCTATAAATTAAAATTTAGAATTAATTACTTCATTATTCATCAACATAAAAATGGTTTTGAAGCTAGCCAAATGATAAGTAACTGATACTGAAAAACTATTCAGATTTTATACCCAAAGCAAATTATAACCTCTCACTAATCTTCAGCAATGCAGAAATATAACTCTTCTATTTTTTAGTGTTATCTTTGTGCACAACCCATTTCTTAAATGGCCTCAATTGAAATTTAAGAAAAAAATAATAAAACAGACATTTTAAAAGCTTATATGTAAGTGTCTTGACCTGTCAATTAAATAACAGAAGCACACATCATTCATATTTGACCTTGGTATTTCTTTCTGGAGCGTAGCTGAGAGTACACTTTCGCCAGTCCAACTCTGAACCCTCAAAAGTAATCTTGTTCTTGTCACACCACGTATGCAATACAAATGAAGCTCCTCTCCTGATGAAGAGCTTTCAGCACTTCTAAAATAGAGTTCCACAATGGATCCACTTAAGCTCAACAGGAATGTGATTATGAAGACATTTTCTAGTGATTAAGAACACTGATCATCCCCTGTTTTATTCTGCATCTGCAAAGTGATTCTGGGTTAGCAGTATGGATGGCTCACACTGCTGTTCAACGAGAATATTCAGGCTAAAAGAAAAGCAATGACTGACATTCTAATACAGTGAACTGAAAAAAAGCATGAATAATTTACCTTGTGACCATTTTATATGGCAAAAAACCTCAGTTCCACAGCTAACAGACGGTATATTAGAATTCAGTTTTCAAACTAATTTGGGATCTATGGGATTCACCTTGACAGGATATTGTTTGTATGCTGATCTTGACATTTAGTAGCCCATTTGTCGGTGAGAGTACCAGAGAGCACCCTTCCTTATACAGTATTTACAAGGCCATTTTAGTCTGGCATAACTCAGCTCTGTGAAACACAGAGCTGTCTGACACCAGCGTCAGGGCCGGAAGCACATGGAAGGAGGTGGAAGGGAGTGACAGACTATTTTCCTGGCAGCACTGAATTTTATATCGTGAAACTGCACCGTGAGAAATATGCATCGCCACCTCTGCTGGAATAATGTTCTCTGAAAGGATCTGAGCTCACTGCAGGGGCTTCTCTGTAGGTTCAGCTGCCACCTTGAGAAACACCCTCCTGGCTCTGAATGGAAGGCACAGGCAGTCTTGGTGACTGCGTGACCCGCTCACCCCTTACAGTAACTGAACTTCTTGCAGCAGCACACCTGCAAACCCCTACAGCACTGGGGACACAGCTCTGCCTGTTACTCAGCTTCAGAAAAATGCCTTGGGCTTTCACTGTTTACACTTGACGACGTAACATAACATTAGTGGACTGACCTCTAACTCTTTCTCATCAAATGTCTTCAGCAGATGTTGTGGGATTACTTCATTAAATCCCTTCTGTAGAGCCAGAAACTGAGCTTCAATTCCTCGTAAAAACCGCCAGTTTACATACAGTCTGCAAGCAAGTGCAAATTGGTTTTGTGAAAGATGTATTCAAATACAATAAACCTGCAATTTATCCAGCCAAAAAAAAAAAATAATGACCGTACTGACAGGAATACACACACCACTACTACTTCGGGGAAAACAACAACATAACACTGTTAATTACTTCAAATAAGTAAAACTTCCTCCTCACCATAGGAAATACAAAAACCTTGGAACAGATATTGATGTACCTGACGTATTCCTTTTTATTTTCCTCTGTCACAGGGATGCTTTTGCCATTGGGTTTCAGTTCATGTTGAATAATTTCCCCGTATGCATTGTGTTCTACACAAAACGTATGATCCAAAACCCCTGTGATATCATTCTCACTGGTGGAAAGAAATAAGCACCTGACTCAGTGAAAACATATTCTGCAAATATATTACACCCATAATATATCTGACAGACATCACAATTCAGTTTTTCAATAGCATTTCAAATTCCTGTTTGGAAGCAAAGATGAACATACATTTTTGCTGTATTTTAAAACCATTATCCAAGTTTCAATGTTATATTTTCATAACACATAACTGTTAATAATAGACAAAATTAATAAATTAAAATCTATGAACTGAACACTTTACAGCCGGTAATTATGTATCCCCCAACCCTCAAATCTGAATACCTTGAGCATAGTAAGCCTTCAAAGAAGCCAAATTGTGCAAGAAAGGTGTTTCTTAAGTCTGCCTGAGCCGGAGATCGAAATATACTTCATTTCTTTTCAATTGGATTTAGGAACATTATCACATGTTAACAGAGACAGAATTCTAACACTGTAACACAGAATACACAGTACATACAGGATCCAGACTAAGCTGTTATGAAGATCAGGGTCGACCAATTCCATATCATCCAGAGTAATTGGCTTCCCCAGCAACTGCTTATAGAAAGGCAACGTGAAGCCTCCGTCAATATAGTGTCCGTGAAACACGGCCATCCCCATTATTCGGCCAACAAAATGGAAATACGATAAGTGTTCCTAGAATCAAAAGAAGAGACTAAGCCATTCAGCTAAAGAAGACCTCCAGGTTATAACTCATGAATATTAAATAAAATGTCAATACAAAGAAAAAAACCCAACACATCCAGATCTTTTTGTTTTGTTTGTTTATACAGAGCACAATGAGTATACTGCTTCCAGGCCAGAAGTCTTACTAAGAATCAAAATAAACTTAATTTCTCCCAAAGGAAACATAAATTGACATCTTACAGAAAATTAAGAACATATTTGAGAAGTTTCTTTGAATTTGTGCAATAATATGACAATTTTTTTTTAGTACTGCTCAGTCTCTAGCAATACTAATGTGAGAATTACGTTCCTCACCCTCCAGATCTATTTAAATTCTAGTCACAAAATAATCATTTACAGAACTCCTGTTACGAGTCATACCGGGTTGACTGCAGAGTCTGGATTAATTTGCAGTGTATAGATATCATCTCGGGAATATTGGAAGAGACCATAATATGGATTCAGCATTTCATGGGACAATAGGTAGAGCCACTCCCTGAAGAAAAAAAAATAATTCATTGTTTACTTTAGACAAATGCATTCCTACACCGAGGATCTTTTCAAAATAGTATGATTTTATCAAATCTTAGTGTTGAACATAAACGTGAAAGAAGTTATTTCTGAACATGATTAAATAAAGCTGAAATCTGAATTTTTGTTATTGGTTCAGTAACTGCACAGCCCCTGACAGCTGACATATTTCCCAGCTTTCCAAGATCTTTCTCCAGGTTACTTACTTCCAAGAAAGTTTCTGACTGTGATTATCCTTCATCCATTGCACACAGCGACAAGAAAGACACCATGTGTTCTACTGACAGTACTACAGACATGTCAAAGCTTTGCAAACCCGTGAAGATACAGGCAGTGCAACAGCCTGGGTGCCACCGGTCACTTGCTGTCCACCAGCACCAGAAGGAGGGCTGTTAGGGAGCATCATCTGCACTTTGCAATAAATATTAATGGTAAAAAAATGCAGTGCAATGTAAACAATGAATACACCTAAATGAGTCAACACTAGTTTAGAATAGCTCCACACACCAGAGGTGGGGAATATTTTCACTGAAGTAAAACCAGCATCTGTGCAATTGGCCAGTACAATTCCTAACACTGTTTTAACAGGTGAAGAGTATATCTTCATACAACCAAAAAATGTCACTTTTTATAAGCAGGTGAAAAATAATCTCACAGACTCCTGAGTGACTTTAGTTCCCTACCAACTTCTAGTTTTTAACATCTTGCTTCAAACAGTAGTGACAATTTGCAATAAAGCATATTTTTTGATCAGTTACGCCACAAAGCCAAGTATTTAGTGGTATAAATTCTCAGATACCCAAGCTTTACTAACCAAAGAAAAATACAGTCATTTCAATAGATACCAAAAGCCCGTCCTGCATATATGATAATGTCTGATGCGATCTGTAACAGACACTTTGATTTATTTGCAATAAATTACTTCTTTTTTTGATGCAGTTTTTTCCCTTTAAAAGACTATTTGAAAATATATTCTTCAGACATACGCTCTGTTACAGAAATAAATATAAGTAAGGATAACATAAAGAGAAACAGGGGTGATACAAGGCTGGTTTAGGATAGTGCGGAGGAAGAGACAGAGGACAGACTGTTTACCTGGCAACACCTCCATAATCAAGGCCTTCCTCCCCACGAAATTTTATCATTAATCGTTTCCACAGGTCTTTTGGCCTCATCTTCATGACTTGCCTGTAGGATTCCTGTAAACACATAACACTTCCTTTTACTAACTGCTATTTCAGATAAGAAGCTACTACTGTTTATTAGAAATGGAGTCCCAGACTCCGATTCCAAAGGGCATACCTATTAAAGGGGATATTATTTTCCTAGATATTAACCAGTTTCTCAAATGACAGGCTGTTACTTAGTTTTCTACAGACGTGATAACACTTGTTAAATAAAATTGCTATGTGAGAAGAACCACCTTCCATTAAATTTCCAGAGATGCCCAGTGATCAGAATTCTCTCTCTCTCATTCTCACATAACTTACAAAATGAAATCTGTTTCAGTAAACTCCTTTTGTTTTGCATAAAGGCTCACAATTTTTGCAGTGTGAAAAGCCAACAGTGGACCTTCTACTCTGGGTATAACGCATGTGCAAACCTTCAGCAAGCATCTTAACAACAGAAGCATCAATGCCATCTCAGTAGATCTACAGAATTATTCCTCTATCAGTAAGACTTCATCAAGAAAACACAAAAAGAAAGCTGAAACTGGCAAAACTAATGCTAATTTTAAAAAAAGCAACTAAAGCAAGAAAGTCCAGTTTTTATTTAGGTCCAGTATTGCTGCTTAATCTTCAGCTTTGCAGAAGAGGAGGGTGTCTGGGACCCAACACGCTCAACTTAGTTTTCAGGAGAACATATAGTTTTCACTGCAGTAGAGCAGACTTTCTTCCCTTCTGTTTTAGCAGATTATGAAGCGATTTGATTGTCTCCAAAGGGAATACCAACACAAATCTTTCCTGGCTGGGAAAAAAACTGTAACAACACAGTGGGTCTATCAAGTTTGTGGGTGGGGTAAAAATGCAAAAGGGATGGGAGGGATGGGTGATAAAGTTCTCAAGAAGACAGACTGTTCTGCAGAAAAAGCCAATGCATTATAACTGTGTTTAATCCATGTAGTGGAATTATTCTGCTGAGTAATGTCACCAAATAAAACACAGATATCCCAGGTCATTCAAAAGACTAGATGATTCATAAAATTGGTCTGATTTGGGGTTGGGGGGAATCAACTGGAATCGAGATAGATTCTAAGCAATCCAAACTGCAAAGATGAATGCTATTCAATAGTAATCTTACATAAGTTAAAACAGATCAAAGATCACTAATCGTTTCAATTTGTAGCATTCCCTCTGTAACAGATGTTATCGTTCTTATATTCAAGAAAGAAGTGAGATACTATCTTGAAATACATGAAGTGCTTGGACCCCCTCCTCAGTCCCTGACACACACTGTACATTTCAAGCCACCTCACTTTTCCTCTCTACAGGGTAAATACACCTACTTTAATTACAAAACTTCTGAACATCCCCTTAAAATGCTTCCTCTTCCCATTCACCACCTGTAAAATTCCAGCTTTAATTCCAGACTTCAAGATTTCATTTGACTGAATGACTTCTTTAGACAGTTATGAAGAACCCTCCTCCCCTCCTCTCAATGTTAAGAAATGGGTCAAACTCCCAAATTACCTCAAAAATCTCTTCCCTGGAGACCTCAATACGACAATGGCCAGCTTGAGGTTGCTGCTGTGACAGCTCTTGCCTGAGGATCTTGAGTTTCTGCACGAGGTCTCGCTTGTAGCGCGGCACGGTGAGACACTCAGCCTCGTCGGGGAGCTGGCACAGGGACACCACCTGCTGCTGCTGCTGCTGGTCCTTAAGTTGATTCTGGCGACTAGCAACACGCACAGTTGTTAGCGGACATTCACATTATATGGCCCCGATTCTCTTCAGATGTTACTTAAAGGTTAAGTCTTTGTAACTAACCTACTTTCAATTTACTATGATTATTACTGTGATTACGCTAAAAATGTCTGGGTCCAGTACAAAAATAACTTCAGAGAGATTTTATCCTGACTAAAGACATATGCTTCTGTCTTTGTTGGCAACTATCAGTCATTTTTAGGGCTTGTTATTTCTATTAGTACTACTCTACAAAGTATGTAAAAGGTTACAGCACTATATAATAAGGTACTGTCCATACAATTTTACTACTAAGCTGCTGACAACAAATTTCGCAGATACTGTTGCCGTATTTTCTTTGCGTGTTTTGCCTTCCTCCATTTAAAGATTCAGGGCCCTGTCAAACACTGTGCCTCTAATCTACACTCAATACCATCACCTGTTTTAAATGCCTTGTCTGAAAAAGAGTAAGCTTACAAAAAGCTGTTTGTACTGGCAGCCTGGCAGGGACCTTGTCCCTTGTACCTGGCCTAGTCTGGACCACAGGAATGTGGGAGTTCACATGTCACTAATTGGCACAGATAAACAAGTACTTTTACTAGCAATTCTAAGAGATTTTCTGCATCTAACTTCTTATAGTAAAAGTAAATTAATCGTGTTGCAGAGGTGTCCTCTCTTGTGCTGTTTCTTGTACGCAGTAAGTGTATATTTTTATAGCTTTTTAGTATGGCATTTCCAAACAACACAGGATAAAAGTTGTATTTTGCTGAAACCATGAGAAGAATATCTCTGTATGGAACACGTTAGAATACCCTGAATTTACGGGATAAATAAGAAAGATTACAATTCAGAATGTTTTCCAGTGGAATGTTAATAAATTGGGTTTTTTAACATCAAAGACCAAAAAATATTAGATGGAATCAAACACAATATTAATGTTTTTTAAAATTTCAGCCTATTGTCTGTTTTGAAACAAGGTCTACCAGAAAGCTCTCCTGGCCAACCAACTCCAGCAGGCTTTTCCACAGGAACACTCAGAATTGGCAATTAAAGTACGTGGAGAGAGGCGTTCCCAGTTTGCCTTGCGGTTCTGACAGCTATTCTCTTATTTGCAAACCTTCTATTTAAAGTAATTTTGCACAAACCACCCTCAAGGGAAACTAACACCAGGTGACCAGGAAATCTTTATCAGTAGTCTTACAAGCCTAACATTTAGAAACCACTGCAATGGCACACATTATAGATCACTTCAGCAATAACTCAAAACTTAGTATTAATAATAATACCTCTTTGCTCCTGGGCCTTAAAGAGGGAACCATGAACAGAAATCCTACTATGTACTATTGAGTTTAACTCAATCCATTTTGTTGGTTTTACTGTGGTTTGTTGGGTGGGTGTCAAGAGAATGGGGCCAGTCTTTTTTCAGTGGTGCCCAGGGACAGGACAAGAGGAAATGGGCACAAACTTGAACATAAGAAGTTCCATCTGAACATGAAGAGGAACTTCTTTACTTTGAGGGTGGCACAGCCCTGGATCAGGCTGCCCAGAGAGGTGGTGGAGTCTGTCTCTGGAGACACTCAAAACCCACCTGGACACATTCCTATGCAACCTGCTCTAGGTGGACCTGCTCTAGCAGGGCGGGTGGACTAGATGATCTCCAGAGGTCCCTTCCAACCCCGTATCATTCTGTGATTCTATTGTTTGCACCGTTTCTTTTTTTTTTTTTTTTTTCAGATAAGGCCACCTTAACTTTATTCATTCCAGAAAAAAGTCATTCCAGAAAAAAAAAAGCCATTACAATAATTTAGAGACATGCACTCAATGTGGTTCCAGAATATGGCTCTATGTCACTTTTACAATATGGTCATTTCTTTTCACTTGTGAACAGTTTTAAATGAGTGTCACTTAAACTGTATTTACTCCATACGCAAATTAAAGCAAAATCCTTGTTCTGTCTTCTGAACTTTCTAATTCCATAAGGACAAACGTGAAAATATTCCTTGTATATGCCTACCAGAGAAGGTCCTTACTATATACTGGAGTGTTTGTTCATACTACCTTTAATAGTAGAAGAGAGACAGTCCCCTGAACACAAAGTGTCAGTCTTAAAGAAAATGTCATCTCTGAAACAAGCACAAACTTGAGATCTATGCATCAAATTAAACCAATCTAAAATAGGGCACTTTTTCTCATAGGATGAGAAAAATAAAATGCCATCCTCCATATTAGACTACAAATAGTCCAGTATTAGCTTAACCATCTGCAGTGCTTAAAATAATTAAATCTAATTTCTTAGTTTGTTTTCACAGCTGAATGACTGTGCTTGTTTCTGTACAGTGCTTTAAGGATATAGCTAAGTACTTTTCATGTGCCATAACTACCAAAAGCTAACACAAACTCTTGGCCAGTATTTCCAAACAGAACTGGGTAACAAGTTTGATTATTTTCATAACTTATAACATCATCACTGGAAGAACAAACTGCTTCACTCGGCTCGATTAGAAAAGTCAATATCACTGAGAGTAAACATTTTCTTATGCCTTTGAACCTAAAACACTATCACACCCATCCCACCCAAATACTAAACTTATTTCTCAGATAATTGACAAAATGACAGGCCCCAAGGCAAACTGCTTTACTTTTTTTTTAAAGAACAATTAAGGAGGTGGACTTAAGAGAAGGCAGGGGAGGAAAAAAAAAAAAAAAAAGAACAAAAGAGAAAAAGAGAAATTTTTCACATATCCTGCAGCAGACTTTGCTGATGACACTGTTGGGTAAATTTCAGAAATCCCTCCCTGATGAAAGACAGATGTACAAATGAAAAAACTTAAGCACACTTAGGAGTACTTTCAGTTTAAAGAAAAGCAAAACGGTTCTATGATTCTGGAACTTAAATTGGATTTTCCAGATAACAAAGCTATTTGCCCTCCATCATACATGCAGGACTAGCCACCAGATCTGCCATTTAAAAATAAACCTACCTGTGTAAGACAGTATTTCAGATATAGTCCACTTGACAGAATTTTCTACAGTTTAAGATTTGCACTGTTGTAACTACGGGGGTCTGAAGTTTTTATTCAGCTAAAACATCTAAATCTGAATTAATTTAATGAACTTTTTTTGTGTTTCAAACAAAAACATGCTCCTCCACTGGTAAGTTGTTTTTCAAGACTATGTCCATTTGAAGCTAACAATCGAAATTCAGCTAAAATTAGTAGTGATGTTTTGTTTTGAATTTTAAAAAAAAAAAAAAAAATCAACAGTGTAACGGTATACATATTTGTCAATATTTAGACTTTTCTCCCCCTTCAGCTGTTAAGTTCAGATGTATACTGGGCAGACAAGGCTAACCAGCTTTTATGTATTACACAAAAGATATGTTGACCTCCTGAATATTACTTTCCATTCCTCAGTTTTGTCTTTTCAGTGCTTGTTCCCATTATTCTTTCCTTCAGCTTTTCTTCCCAGTGATTCACTTCCTTAAAAGGACTATTCCTCCTACTTACTCCTTGCCCAGAGCTGCAGGGCTTTCCATCTAACCAGTTCTTCATTGTTTCTTCCACTTAACACCTACTCAATACTTTACAGGTGTTTCCCAAGAGTATTAAAAGGTGCTAGTAGGAAAAACAATAGAGTCAAACTACCTAATAGCTTGGGCAAACCTATAGCTATGTCTACACCAAAAAAGGATAAATGTTTGTTTGCTTATGTGGGTTCCATTTTGAGTAGAAAATCCCCCAGTGTGAAATGAGTGTCTAGGGAATAAAAATAAGAGGCAGAATTCTTTTGAGTTTCCACTTCTCTTAAAAACTGCAATATGGAGATGTGATATCAAAACACTAAGGCAGAAAAAATACAGTTCCTATTTGACTTTTATTTTTCTTTAATCTGAGTTAAATTACTGGGGTCTTATTTTAAGAACATCTCAACCAGTCCTACTCGAAAACTGAAGGTAGGAGCTGAATTATTTCTCCTTTATTGCAGGAGAATAGCTGGGCACTTGTGCACCCAGGATTAACTCATCAGTATTTCACCACTGCCTATTGAATGTAACCTGGCATTTTAAGACAAGTACTCCATAACCAAAATTAGTATGACGCATGAAAAAGGAAAGAAAGTGTCTCTCTTGCTGTGAGAAAAAATTTCTATCGGCCAGTCCACCAGACAGCACTCGCTTCCCCCGCAACTGCCCTCCCACCCCCATGCCCCCAGCTCCCATAATCACAACAGCCACATTCCTGTCTAAATGCTGCTTGAGACTTTTTTTTTCCAAGAACAATCAAACCTGTTTTCTTTGCTGTGTGACAGAGTAAGTTGGTAGGGTGTTAAAAAACACCACTACGGTGCTTTAAATACCACTGAATGGCAGAATACATCTTGATATAAAATCTAACTCCCCTCAAGAGTCTCTTTCCCCTATAACTTTCAACATGTGTCAGCGACTTAAAACTTACTTTAAGACTAAATGCAAGTTAGCAGATAGCCGTGGATCTGTAAACTGCGTTGTCCTGTTGTTATGGTCAACAAAATAAACTCTGCCTGTTGCTGTATTTCGGATCTCCCATCCAGGAGGCAGTGGACCAAGCTCTTCACAATTGATGTTGCTAAGATCCCTGTGAAAACAAATATAAAATGAAAAATACCTCAGCATTTGGCTTCTGAGCCAAACAAGCGTAAACGTAACAGAACAATTCCATGAAGTCTGAGAAAATGTATTGTTTCAGAAACTTGATCTGTTCAGCTGGAATCTCTACTCCCAAGGTGCAAGCTCACCAAAGAAAAAACACACACCCCAGAACACATGCCGTGGGGAAAAAAATTCTTATCAAATAACCCTCATTTCTACAAACTACAGATGTTACCTTAATACAGGCTTAAAACAAAAATACAGACCACTGCCGTATTTGCCAAAGTGGAATTGCAGTTCTACACCAACAGACAGAAAACATTTTAAAACCAACATTAGTCATGTAAGGGACTCTGAATCACACTTTAAAAACTCCTACAAAACAAAACTATATTTCTGAAGAGTTACACTTTCCATGAAGAATTATGCACGGGATATGTGTGTATTCCACACGCAGTTTTGGTCCAAAACCCCAACTGCTAGCGGGAAGCAAACAGCTCTCCAACAAAATATTTAAAATAAAGTATTATATGAACAATGACTCAGCTCTGCCCTGAGAAAAGCAGAGATGGCTTAATGCGTCTCAAGAAAATTCTGCTGAAGTCAGGAAGACGTAGATTCTTCCTGGAGGTTCACTGAATACAAATACTAGTCTTCAAAAATGTAAATTTATTCATTCTTCATGTATATAATCCACACCTCAGATACCTTTAAAAAGAGCTGCACTCGACAGTGTGAGGTGTAAGTCTTCATATCTCCCAGTATCACGTCAGTTGACAGGAGGAAAGAGCCGAGGGCCAGAATGGCTAAAAAGACGTCATCTTCAGGGACCCAAAAGGCTGAGAAGCCATTAATGGAAATACAAGGCTCTAGAATTGAACTTCTGCTGGTATTACCCATATACACACTGCTGCTGAACTGCAGGGTGCATTTCTATTAACTAAATGATTGTGGTATATTAGCATAAAAATACAATATTCCTTAGAAATGATATACACTCTATCTTCATGCAAACAAGCCAAATTTTGTTCTCAGTGACGCTCATCAAGTTTCTGCTGCCACATCTAAGGCCACTGCTAACTTGGATTTCATACAAAACTGTTGCACTGCAAACTTAAGGATTAGATCTTATATATTATTTTTTTTTTGTAGGTAAGTCTAGTTTCTAGTTTTGTATAATACACAAGTCATGGACTTCCTAATGCCCAACTGCCAGCTGTATCACACCCTCAAGCCTACAGATAAGGCACCAAAGAAAAGTATATTCTTCTAACATAAAAGTAGTAACAAAACCAAAAGAATCACTGGAAAATGCAATGTAGTTATGGTCATGAGGCACTTTATCCTTCACGAGATATCCAAAATGCATTACCATGGGAATGAGCATCAGCAGCAACTGACAAAGTTGCTACAATTCTCCTAAATGCCAGCACTGGCTGCCAATTTCAAACGGCACACAGTTTATGACACCATCCTCACACTTCAGGACGCAATAATTTTCAACAGGATTTCTTTTCCTTTTTTTCTTTTTTAAGAACAATTAAATGCTAGCAATAGTTTTCCTGTTATCCTTCTTTCCTTTCAAACACATCAGAAATAATCACATGTACAGTATGTACACATTTGTATCATGTAAGTAAGGACACTGAACTAAAAAGGACACTAACTTCTGATTTATTTTCTCCTAAGCATTGAGACATCTACAACAGAAAAAGCAGTTCGAGTATTTGAATCACAGGTCAGTCTCTTTCAGCTTCTCTACCTGTTTGCCACTCTCCCCCAAATTATTTCTCATTATATGCTGCTAAGGAGGTGCTTGAAAGCATATATGATTGCTCTAGAAATATCAGTTAGAGCATTAATAAAGAAAATAAATATTCATTTCTGCTCTGTAACAGGAAACCTGCTGTGTTTCCTTGTGTGTTTTTAGATGTTTGCTACTATACTCAAATGGAAAACTTTCCTTTTTTTAAAAAGGCACAAAAATCCTGGCACTTCAAACACAGCTCACTATTTCAGCTTCCAGGCTTTTTATGATGCGGTGTCTCCAATTAGTTTCTTTAAAACGTACTAAGTTTCCTATTCCTTGAGTAAATTACATTTGGTAGTTTGAACATGGGACAATTATTCTCACAGACAAGTAAATTTAAGCTAATTCGATGATAAGACTGTAGTTCACCACAAATACTGTGTTTAAACACAGAAGGGGCATCTTCTAGATTTTCCAGATTTTTGCCTTTGTTTGGTCCTCCATCAAAAATTATCACATTTGTCTCGCCTACTTGTCACAAAGTTTGTTCTTCATAAATTTATGTTGACAATTTCTCAGGTCTTGTTAACTTCCAGAGCCTGAATTAAAAACCAAACCCAACTCCATTTTCACTGAAGTATCTCGATAAATCTAGATACTTGGGAGGGCTCAGATCCTACTGTTTCATTATTTTGCAGAGTACCAAAATCTGGACTTGGCTATAATTCATATGCAAGATCTAGAAGCAGTTAACTATTTCAAAGTACCATGGGAATTTATTTCTCGATTCTCCATCTTTATCTTAAGATAACAATTTGAATAACTGGGAGACTAGTCTGTTTAGATTAATGACTTGTTAAAATGGTATATTGGGACCAAGAGTCAGAAATATAATATTAGAGAAAACTCTGAGGAGAGTACTGCTTAAACTATTTTGATTTGACACCTTAAAGATACTTTCATTGTTTCTTACCTGGGTACTCTCGGATCGTGCCAAGTGCTAACACCAGTCTGAGTATGCAGGAAATAGACCTGACCTTGCTGAGTCGTCCTTTGCTCTGTGAAATAAAGGTAAATTAATAACTATAAGAACAAAAAGTGCAATACAAAAACTCACAAAGACTGATTTCCCGAAACTAAGGAATCAAAAGGATTTTATGTAGGAGAAAACACAAGCCATTTTCTCAGTTTCTTGGGAGACCTACAATTCAAGTATTTTAAATTGCATACCGTATCCTTCAGGTAAATCGGGAGGAGTGTGCAAGTGTGTCCTGCTCATGTAATTTCTGTGCCTCTGTGACCTGACTCTCCTCTCTGCCAGCCGAGGATCCGATGACTGCCCGCAGGTCGCACCGTTTGTTCCCGTAATTGGAGTGTTCTCATCCACAAAACAGCTCAGTGGCCTGCCGGGACTGGAGTATTCAGATGCTGGCCTGGGGGAAAAATTGCATTGCTGACTGGACAGGGCTACATAATGCACTTGATGGAAGCTCTCCGGGAATCTTTGTAGATGGAAGCTTCATCTAGGGGCTCTCGGGAAGTCTTTGTGGATGGCAGAACTGTGCAGTTGACTTGTTGAACAGGGTACCTCAACAACAGGCAGAAAGCTTCTGTTCAGCACTCACTAATTCACCTCAGAGTAATTAATAAAATTCCTCAACTGAGGGTCTGACCTGACAGTTAGTATATGATGTTGCAGTATCAAGATCATACCAAATACTCACATGAGCAGTTCCCACTTTAAACAGAGTGCTGAGAGAGAAAATGTTTATGTGGGGTTTTTTTGTGGTTTTTTTTTTGTTTTGGTTTGGGTTTTTGCTTTTTTTGTTGTTTTTTTGTTTGTTTGTTTTTTTACAATGAACAGCATACAGCCCAGACTTTCCCACCTTGCCTTCCTATGCCCTTCTAATTTTTACGAAAGGTTATTAGGCGAGGATGGTGATGAAGGGCTACCTAAGATAAAAAAAAGTTGTTCTTGAGAGCTCAACCGCAAGAGGAAACATTGAATTATGTGGTTTCATATCTCAATGTGGCTTTCAAAAGTATTTAAAATGGGTTAAAGGGGAATTGATAAGGTCACAGGAAATTCCCCAAACAGATTATATATTTTGCATTTGTTTCTCTACTGTAAATGTATCTAGAGCTTAGAATAAGTATTTCAACATACCAGGAAAAATACAAATAGGCAAATTAAAAAGCAGTACCTTAACTCACTTGAAAACTGCAAATATGTATCAGACCTGCAGCATTAACAGTACAGATTATTTTAAGTCAAATATATCCATACAGAGACTGCAATAATATTTATGGAGTAGGGAAGAGACAGTCTGCAGACACAGACTGTCTGCAGAAGAGTCTGAAAAATATGCAATGACACTGTCTACAGTTCAGGTAACGGCAAAACTGATTTGACGAACAGCTTCGCAACACACATTTAAGATTATTAAAAAAGGCGATTGTGATGATTTCGAAGCATGCTCTGTAACAATCAGCTGTAAAAGTTCTGGATTACTGGTGATAATTATGGTCATAGCATGTACATAGACAATGTCTGTCAGCTAGCCACGATCGCTTTTCTTCGTTCCTTATGATGTCTGCACATTGTAACGTCTGTATTTATCAAGTTCTACCATAGCAGCTCCACACAAAAGCAAGGATGCTAGTATTAGGAGAGATAAAAAAAAAATAGTCTAATCAGAATGATTCTTCTGAGTTAAATATTAGGCAGACTGAAGGAGTAAGATGCTAGAGAAGAAAAGCATACAGCATTTGTAGAGTGACTCAAAGGAATGCTGAATACCCTTTTAGAGCCACTTAGAATTGCTTGTGCTCAGCGCTCCTGGTCAGCAAGCAAACCATCATAAACAGTCTCCTAAATAATTTCTTACCGTGTTGGTCGCTCCCACTGAGTTGTTCGTGTAATATGATTTAAATACTGGATCCTTCCAGAAGCAGTCCTCCGTTCCTCCCACCTACAATTCAGACATTGAGAGATAAGGCAATGAGTGGTATTTCCAGGAAACCAGGGCACAAAATGTTTCCAACGTAAATGCCAACTCAGGAAGACCTACACTATTATGAATCATGTTAGCTGAACAAGGTAACAGGAAACAGCTGGAAGTTCAACTCAGAATTTATTTTACATATTCTTTTCTTGGAACTAGGCATATTATTAACAATATCACACCTTCATGTTCAATAACCATTTGAATTTTAATTAAATCCAAATAGCCAGATAAAGAAACTTCTTGAAAACATCATGTTTAATAACACATACAACATCTTTTGACTACCAATTCTATTAAGTGCTTTCATAGTATCTTCACGCAATACTTGCTTTCATTAAAAAGTCACCTTCAATTAACATGACTTTTTAATTTTTATTACTTTTGCACTCCAAAATACACAAGGTTATACAGCTAGCTTTGCAGTTACACAATTAAGTAAGTGATATTTATACAAGGAACATTTTGAAGTTAAAGTTTAGAAGCATTTTTAAAATTTTTTTTGACTTCTCCAGACTCCAAATTAACAAAAGAATGCTGTTTAGGACTTCGATGATAATTTACGTTTTGAAATTCATCATCTGAAAAATCAGTTTCTCCTGTCTTTACCTGCCAAGAATCACATTCAGAAGGTCTGTGCTTGCTCTGAAAAAGTTGATGACAGCACCAGAACCTAAAACAGAGCATTTTTCTGTATTCATAAAACTGGTTTAGGTGTTAATGATGTCATTAACTCTCACAGGGACAAATCAAAATCCTAAACCAGCCTTTGGCAGGTAAATACAGCAAGAACTCAGGCTCCATTACCTTTTCCAATCACGATTTACATGGAAGAAAAAGTGATCCATGTTTATAGTAGTGTATAGCTCTGCACAGCACTGCAGAAGGTGGCCAGGCCTGTGTGCTCAATACCTTGCTACAAAACTACTACATGGATGAAGTCAGTTTACTGGCTGTGATCTAATATTATATTAGTTCATCAGTTCTATAATTTGAAAGACATATGTTTTCTTACACAAGTATATTTTTTAACACATTTACTCATATATATACCACCTCCCGTTTTTCAGGAAGAGACTAGAGTCAAACTATTAACTATTTTCTGTGTATCTTGCTCCTAAATTCAAAACTGTAGAAGTCCGAGTAAAGAATAAAAATAAATTAACCTATTTTTACACTGATTTCTCATTACTGCAAAAGTCTGTAGTATGAGCTGTATTTGTGTTTACATCGCAATGATGTCCACTTACCCATCTGGTAAATCATTATCAAATAACCGGCTGCAATCCACAACTTGTCCTCCTGTGCCTATTCGGTCTCTGGACTGAAGACTTACTATTAAGACAATAAAAGAATTATTAAAGGTACGATACCTGAATGCAAGCTACAGTTATATCTGAAAGAGAAATGGTACAACTTGGAGCACTAAGCTGAGCCATGTTCTGAATATTTTTTCCTTCCCACAAACCAGAGTTACACAGAAACAACACATGTTTTCATACACATAATTCTCTACATATTACTTCAAAAAAGTTAGCTTAGAAATATGAATGCAAGTGAAGGCAGAAAAAGAAGTTAACTCTGAAGCCGTCATTAATTCTTCTCAGTATGAGACAGACTGTGACACTGGTCTGGCAGCAGCAGGGTGACTGACCTCATGTGAGGCTGGGACAGCAAGGGGACAGTGCTAGCGCCACACTTGCACTACTACCGGGAGAACCACTAGTAGAAAAGGCCAAAATAAGAAATTCCTATATGGTTTTGACTCCTTATATATTTTGTCTGCACACGGGATTCAACACGTGCGTACACGCACACACAGAACCAGGCAAAATGTAACTGCTAGGAGCACTTGATGTTTGGTTTACTGGCTACTTTCAAACACCAGTGATAAAAAGTCAAACGCAACTCTCACACAAAGCAGTGCTCAACACCCCGAAAAGCCCTTACTGACCTCGGCACAACTGTATTTTAAATTTTTTTACATGTTTCATTTGTAATGGATATTTATGCCTGAAGCTTTTGTACTGCAGTTACGAAAACCAAGATTTTTTTAGGCAACTTTTGTTCCCAATATAATAATTTACAAGTGTCCAGGCTGATAATTTATGACACTTGTGTTCCTGTGGGGTTGGGGTTTTTTTTTTGATGTTTTGTTTCGCTTTTAACAATAAAACGATTGCTTAAAAAGCTAAATACGTGCTGTGGCACACATTTCTTGAGGTGGCACTACTGTATCTCTGGACAACTGTCTTCAAGTCCTATTTATGTGTGCAGTGAAATAAACTTACAGACCTTAATATAGAAAAAAACAAACTTCTGTCAAGATGACAGTTAAAAAAGATGTAGTATTACCCGCAGTTTTTGCCAGAAAGTCCAGATTTTCAATAACAACATGGTTTGAAGCTCAAGATTTTGGGCCTTCAACAGACCAACCCAGGGAGCCCTGCAGTACCTGCCTGCTTTATTCCTAATCACTATTAACTCCTAGTTTTCCATGAACAGTCATGTTACAAAGCAAATTCTTAGGAGTGAAAGGCACCTTAAATTTAATTTCAACCAAAAAGAACCTTAAGTCATGTATTTATCCTGCAACAAACACATTACAAGTCCACATTGCTGCATGGAGGCAAGGTTTGGCAAGCGAAACACACAGACAAAAATGGAACTAAACAAAGGCAATTACCTCCTCTTTGCCTACGTGAGGACCAAAATTTGTGCACGGCTTCATTTTGTAATAAGGACTCATTTTTTTCTGCACCCCCACATCAGAAATAAAATGGTGGCACAGAAGAGAGCTGCAAGATTAAGACACAGTTCAGGTGCCCTTTGCATCCACTACTCACAAGCGTACCCTCTTCTTCCCCCCTTTGAAGACAACCCCAGATAGTTAAGAGAAAGATCCCCTTGCTCCCAAATTATGAAGGCATACCCACTGCGCACTTGATTTGTAAGGTTATAATCTGCTGAAGGTGTAAATTACCTTTTAATACCATTTTCCAATCTTGCACAGCCTCTTAATTTAAGCCAGTTAGTCACTAGAAGACTGAGAATATATTTATAACTTATTCTATCTTCTTTCTTACTTTTAATCAAGATTTCTTCACCATGTTACTACTGCAGTGGAATTACCTACTCAGACTCATTCATCCATTCAACAACATTGCATTAGTGAAGGAAGATTAAAATAGAAGGAGATAAATAACAACAATTTAAAGAAAATAAAGACAGGAGGCTCCGGAGTCTTACCAAGGATGCATTAAATTAAAATACAGCCATAATGGAGGAAACCTGACCTTTCTGATGGTAACAGTGGAAAGCAGAAAATACAGATTTGTTCTCAGTCTCTCTGTAACCTGACAAGCTGTGATATTCCAGGTTTAATGAATGATCCAGCAGCTCCTGCTAATTAGGGACAGCCTCAACAGCATGCCAAAAGAGCTAACGCTTTGGCTATCCGCTTCTCATGATCACATCAGGTTAAGCCAACTTATCTGTCTAGTTTATGCCCACGCTGCTGACTAGTTATCTCTGAAGTGTATCTGCCATGGCCACACTGCAAAATATTTGCCCCAGGCTTCCCCTCTGGCATCCCAATAGCCTTGAGATCGTTCTCAAGGGGTGGCCTTTGGGGTTTTTTTTGCTTGTTTAATTAACGCTCACGTTCTCAAGTCAAGATGACAAGGATGCATGTTGTGTACTCTGGAGGGCAGCATGAGAGCATGTCAGGGTGTGAGGGTACAGTCCCTGCTGGTGACACCTCTGAAAGACTGCTGTGGGCAGAGGAGATCTCTCCTGCTTAGAGCAGAGCCTGTATAAGCAGAGCTCAGTTTCCTCTTAAAAGGAACCCCACAAACAAAACTGCATGCGTACAGCATGAAAGATCAGGGGGCCAGTACACTGGAACAAAACCAAAAAGCAAACCAAACTGACAACATAATGCACCCTAGAAAAAATACTGATTTATTCTTTACTCTTCTGTGCAAGCTCCCATGGAAAATTTAACATTCCAGAATGGTCTGAAGTGTCGACAGTGCACTGACAATTCTACCATCATTTGACTCTCCTGTGTCACCCCACTCTTAATACTGCGAAAACACTTGCAGATCAGATGCTAGGCAGATGGTTAAAGCAACATGAAGAGGTAAAGTCATAGCTATTATTCACCAGAGCACTTTGAAGAAAGCAAACAAATGCACTGAAGCCCTGACTGATATTTCAATAGTTTTCCCTGGCTGACAAAACAAGAATGCCGCTTGGGTATTATTTGAACTAGGATTTAAACATAAAACTGAGCATGCAAATTCACTTTTCTTTCCCCCATATCCAAATAACCTCATTACCATCCTGCCATAAAAATAAAGACCTCCTTCTTCTGATCAATTTTTTTTTTTGACCTAAGTGACCTACTAGAAACACTGCCTTCTGAAACAACTTACAGTGCACCAGAAAGAGTGTTTATGAAGTTGTTTGTGGATACTTGTTTTTCAATTTGGCAGCTTCTTTTTAATTCTTAAGTTATTTAAGGTTTATGATTTAGCAGAATGACAAAGTACAGCTACTGAGATTGGTGACAGGCTTGTTAATAACCCATGAAAACACAAAATGAGTTGACCAACTCATCCTAGACACCAGCTCACTCCTGTTACAGCAAGATGTTTTACCCTTTCGCAAAACTTACAGGAAGCACGGCGTTGCTGGAAATCTCAATGGCCAATAAATTTATGACGAGTTTTTCACAGGGAGTTCAAGCTCAAACTGTCATAAATCTTTACAGTGAAATTAAATGCTTTCCAAATAAATTTTGTACTATATATGGTCTTATCTGTCCCAAATCTTATAATAATATTTGGGGGAGGGAGGGATGCTGGGTGTTTCATTGTATTGTTTGTTATGTTTTGTTTTTAAATTCTCTACATACACACTTCTAGCTTGAGGTCCCAATGGCTCTGGCAGTAGACACTGAATTAAAAAAAAAAAAAAAATTCAACACCAGAAACTGACGTCTAGGAAGGGTATTTCTACAGCTACTATTAAGCTCCAAGAGAACTATTCGATAAAAACCTTTACTTACCTACTATCTGTCCTCTAACAGTATCATTGTCATTTGGCCCAAGTTTGCACAGATCCAATCTCTGATCTGTGAAATAAGGACGCAAAATGTAAGTCATACAATATTTTGCTGCCTTTGAAAAGCACGCTGAAGTACCATCAGAACAAAATTCAGCCTAGTGTAGGATAGTTAAGACTTCAAGAGATGGCAGAAGGGAAACAAAACTAAAAATCTTCAGCCAAGACTTCATTTTTCATACTTTAAAAATCAGAGTACTTTTGCTTTAACATTTTTTTTACATCACGAAGCTCTTCTGATGAATCAGAAATTACATTATCCTGCACTGGATGTCTAAAGTGATTGTAAAGTATTTTCAACTCTTTTCCTTTGTGAAGACCAGCCATTGTCATAATGCACTTCCAGCTCAACACTCATTAGTACGGCACAGAACTAACCTGCAGCATCAATCCACATATTCCACACTAAATAGGTAAAACTTCAAATTGAGCAAAGCACAATGCACTGAAGCACCGATCTAGTGACAAATACTTAAAAATTAAGAACCTCAGTTATGCCTTTATCACGAAAGAACCCAATAGTGAAGGCAAAATCACAATGCTTCTCTGCCAGTATATCACTTTTCCTTTTTTTTTTTTTTTAATTATCCGTATAGTCAAGCACTACTTTTACATCACAAACACTGCACCAATTTGTTCAGAAGTAAATGGCATCCGTTAAGATAATGGGAGAACAGCATCTTGCATGTTAATTAACTTTTTAAAAAGTAAATATGAAGTGCTATAAGTTATAAAGCACTTAATATATTATAGCAAAATTTACTATTTAATTTTGAAGGTCCATTAATGTTTAAACTACAAATTTGGCTTCAAGATAGATTTACCCTTTTATTTATCCCTTAAGACTCACACTTTTGAAGGCAATAAAAAGATAATTTGAAGGTAATTAGAGTCTGTCTTCCTTTAAAATTCCAACACATTAAGTTCAATCTCGACAATCCACAACCAGACTGCAGCACTGTCTATGGTAATGGGGCAAAGGAATTGAAAAGCCAAAGGTAAGTTACATTCTCTAACCTACCCATCCTATCCTCAGCCACAAACCACCATTACAAACTACCAAGATTTATAAAAAAACAACAAAATCTCAATTAACTGTCACTCTTCAAAAAGTCTGTGCATGAAAGTTTGGTCTGAAAGAGAAGAAACACTAGTCTTTAGCTTACTTACAACCAGTGTCTTTAAGGCGGTTGATTGCGTTTGAGAGAAGTCTCACACAACCCAGAAAACCAGCTCCCTGCTTTTTATGAATTTTCTTGTGATTCCACACACTGATTGTTATTGAATCCGACTTCCCAATATATCTGAAAAAACGTGAAAAAACAGTACTGTGAATGGCACTTACTGAATACTTTGAAGATGCTCCAGAAAACACCTTGGGGAAAAAAAGATTATTAACCATTACATTAAAAATTTAACATACACTGTATCAGCAAGAGAGAATAGGTCATCTTTAGAGAAGATGTACAAATTATACTTTAATGAAAGCATGTGTTATGAAGGAGCATACCTGAATACAAACTAATCTACAATCCTGATTTGGGAATGAGACACTATATGAATTCAAAGTCTATTGAGATATGTTTAACACAGGAACACGACCAGGCTGTGGGCTGGCCTGGTGACCACAGCTCTTCGAGCAGCTACAAACATGCTTAGACTCCTGCCTATGCTCAGTCTAACCAAAGAGAATGGCGATGGTCATGGCACCACGTGTTTGAGAGCAGCATTAGCAGGCAGAGCAGTTTAAATGGGACTGAAACTATTGGCTTCACATCCTTTGGCAGCACTTCATCTGCCACTGCTTTTCAGGCTACTCTTCCAATCACCGGCTAAGACAGTCACCCCCACGTTGAGCTCTTCTGAGCACTCAGGGAAAATGTAAGGCAAACCTAGTTACACATCTGCAGTTAACCAGTCTTTGGGAAGTTACTTTACTATTAAGAAAACTTCAGCACAGCCCCATTTATTACATACGCTACGTATTACAAATGTGAAGCATTATAAAAGGCTTGCACAGTATTTTGGTTGAGACATAACACGGTCCCCTCCTGCCCCCTTGCTCACATGTGGGCTGCCTGCTTGCAGCACCAATACGGAAATGCTCTGCAAAGCCCAGATCTGCATTTCACTGACCTGGGAAAACCCGGACACTGTTGCTTATTTGATTTTTGCTTTTTTGTTTAAAGCTTTTTTTCTTCAGAAGAAATTTCTTTGTGAGCTAGGTTTTTTTCCAAAACTTTCAGAGGACAATGTCAAAACAACTACTGCCAATACTGAAATATTATAGTTATTTCTAGTTGAGGAAAATGAATTTTTAACTATGGCTTAAATCCCAAGAACTGCTTGTAGTTCTCCCTTCCCAGGCTACAAATTCTGCAGTTTAGTTCTAAGTGCTGTTTTGTTTATTTTTTGAAGGAAAACTGATCAAACTCAAGCAATGTCTAAATACATCTCCCCCACTGACCAAGACTTTACCAGCTTTAAAATATCTTAAGATTTTCATAAAGATAGAAATGATACTGTCAAGGTTGACAAAACAAACAATTGGACTAACTGTCATGGCTTAAAATTGCAGCTGTGATCAGGTAAGTTCTCAATTAACACTTCTCCCCTTTTTCAAAAAGCAGAGTGTTGACAACTACTTTTTCCCACCTGAAGACAGGGGCTGACCCACAAAGTAGAAGACAGAAAAGCCTCACTGGAGGCACATACCCACGAGCATGGTTTAAAACAACCAGTGCACATTTAACTAAAAAAAAAAAAAAAAAAAAAAAAGGCAGACAAAACATGAACTTCACACAAACAAAACCCAGAGTTTTGGGAATAGTAAACTTATTGCGTAATATAGGTCAGATTTTTTGCCTTGCAACCTTGACAATGCCAATTTTGCATAAAGAAACAAGAGATGAAGATGGGTATTCACGTGCATAGTTGCAGTCTACAATGTTTCATGTACTTAAAATAAATTCTTATGAGAACAAGTTAGGTGCACTTAAAACAAAGACTTATCATGACCTGTCTTGAATTTTCCAGTTTTCCTTGTTGCTTTAAAAAAGTCAAAGGTATATGGTTAAACACAATTTCATAACAGAACAGTTTGAGTAATACGTAGAACAGCTGAATATACAACACAGTTTCCAAGAATTACTGCAACATTTCAGGGTGAGGTTTTCATGGTTAAGATGCAGACAGTAAGCCATCCATACCAGGGGAGAACCTCTAGAGTACTACTATAACCTACTCTGATTTTTGAGCCAGAAAACCTGGCTGATTCACACATTTAAAGGAAATAAGCAAGACAAACAGCATTTTCCAAATAAAAACTCATGGGTTTGGGTTTTTTTTCTTCCAAAGGAAGAAAAGAAATAGCTCAGTAACTGCTAGTTGGCTTTATACCAAAATGTTTCATCTATATTTCGGTGTAATTTCAGGCATGAAAATACATGGCTGCATTTAGAGAGTGACGGTAGGACAAGTTGACATTTCCAATTCATTTGGTGGATAAGTTACATTTGTTTTACATCATCTAGCAATAAAGTTTCAACATAAAAGCCTGACTAGGAATTTTATTTCTTATTAAAAAATAGAATGTTAAAAAAAAAAAAGTGGATAAGTTAAAAAAAAAAACAAAAAGAAACAAAAAAACCACAAACCCCCCGTTCCGTTGAATGCCTCTCTCTTCCTCCTCATAATTGAAGGCCTTTTTTTTTTTTTTTTTAACTCCACACTATCAGCAATATCATTTTCACAGCTTCAATACTTTAATAGAGATAACAGAATTTAGTATTAATGAAGTGGAAACCTGAAAATTCAATTTCCATATACATTTTGTTAACTCTCATATTTCCTGAATCTGTAAGATTAGGGCTCTGGATAAGAATTGTGTGTTCAGAGATTTTAAGAAAAATGCGTATTCTTACCACTTCTGAACAAAAATCAAGTACATGCCATACCGGAAACCTCTAAACCATTCTAATCAATTTTTAAAACACAGGGACAATTGTAACTTTGTCTAAATAATTTTATTGCCAAGGTGGTATTTCCTTCTGAGCTGTTTTATTCCTCAGGAATGTTTGGTATCAAGTGACTTTTCATCCCCATGGCATTATACACACTTTTCCTGAAGAGTTCAGCTTGGTAGAGAAAAACAGAATGAACAAAGTGGAAAAAAAAAAAATCCTGAAAAAACACACCTCCTCCAGATCACAAGCCAGATGTACTTCCTCCAAAAAGAGAGAAAAATGCAACATCAAGAGGTATGAACTCAAGCTCGGAAGCCAGGAATTCCCTATTTCTAAACCATGCTGTCACACAGACTCTTTTTATGACCTGGACAAATTACTGAAGTTTGTTTCTCCATTTTCCAATTTCTGAATTTTTTCCAATATAATGGTAGCATTATGCTTTGAGATATCAACTCTTTTCAGATTGGGGGAGAAGAGAGTGCAAAGAGACACAATGAAAAATATCATCCCAATATTTTCTCTTCTCTCTCTCTCTTCACCCTGATATTGTTCTCATCTCATGTCAAGAAGGCAAGGAGCTGTTTGACAGCTCTTTAAGAGTCTAATCTAGGATGGGATTTTCTAAACCAGCACCAAACAGAGCTGTTGCCTTCTTTCCCTGAGAAAAATCCAGGATCGTTAGCAATAACCAGTGGGCGTTAGGGTTGGGGGAGAAAGATTATTCTGCCTGGGCAACACAGGGGCTTGAGAACGTGAAGGCACTAAACAGCACTGGAACCTGCAGCGAGAAGATTTTGGGAAGAGAAGGGGTTGTAGAAGTTGGGTGAGGTTACATTTGAGAGGTATAACAAAGGAGGAGAGCAACAAGTCCATGCTAGAGCCTGGAGGTGCAGATTTGTAGGGCACAGAGTAAAGTTGGGACCAGGACTAGGTTTTGGTGGAGATCATGGTACAAGTACCTCTTAGAGATAAATAGACCATATGACACGATGCCATTAGGTCAGAGGCTGGTGGGGAGGGCTGGAGTAGGCTACAGGACACAGGTGAGAATGGAAGGCTGCAGGAGAGATCCAGGCTACCACTGAATGGAAGGAAAGGGGAAAGGAAAAGAAAAAGGGGATTTGTTAAATTTCAGAACTGCTGGTTTAGGCAGTGTGTATATACTCTGAACCCGAGGTAGTCTGTAAATGTGTTAAGTCTGGTTACTCAGAGCTTTGAGGAAAGGCCTGAACAATAGGGAAAACACAAACAAGACTGAAAACAAGGAGGGGGAAATACACCCAGGGCACGCATGATATTCTACTGACATTAAACTGCATCCAGACAGCAACTATTTGGCAATTTCTTTCTGGAAAGCCTTCAAATTCCCCCCCTTCCCTTACACGTAGCCAAGCAGACTGAAGAATCTAAGCAATTAACTAATTCAGCTGTTTCCTTTCACCCTCGGATGTGAATTAAGAACCACAAAAGGAAATGCAAAACCTTTTTTTTCTTTATAACACTGCAGACATCCTTTAAAAAAAATATTATACAACAGAATATCTATTATGCTGAATCAGATTAGCAAGCCACAAAATTCTCTTAGAATTAGCAACTTAATTCAGACATTATTGCACAAATACATCACAACAGATCCATGTTACTGTGCTGGATGGATCTACACAAGGCTGTTAAATTAGCAACAGTGTTTACCTGTCGTGCAGGTTCCAGGCTGGGGATACTTCAACCCACCCAACACAGCCAACACATGGTTTTACTGCACGTAAGTCTATTATGCTTATTTAAAAGCCAACAGAAATCCTAGTGGGAGCAAAAAAGCAGGATTTTGCTTTCAATTTTTTTTTTTTCTTTCAAAGAATTCTACATAACTGCACCCTCCCTGCATTGATTTTCATTTCCTCCACTGCATGGTGGCAGGAGCAGGCAAGCACCAAGACTCCATCTGTTACGCTTGGTGTGCAAACCATTTTCTCCAGCAGTGGAAGCATCATCAGGCAGAGACTGGCACTCCCACGCAATGGCATGTTGTTAGGGTAAACATCAGGGATGAGAAGAAAGATTAAGCCCTGTAACCTATGAGGCTTGCCATCAGGTGTTTAGTAGTAAAACAGTTTCTTTTTTTTTTTTTCCCCAAAAGTTTATTTTCTTAATATTTGGTGCAGATGAAAAGCTGAGACTAGACACCAGGTATACTACAGCAAAAAGTTACCTTAAAAGCAAAGCCAGGCAGTGAGCTGTTGTATCAAAGAGATACTGCTGTTTTAAATAGGAACGGAAGACTAAGTGACTGATATTTTTAAGTGGAAATAAATGGGGTTAAATGAAGAATATTTTGAGAGAGAAAGAATTATTTTCAAATTACAAGGCCTGACAGAATGCTAAGTTTTACTTTGGATTAGAAATGCTGTGTATAATTTTGTCATCGGGGAATTCAACTGCCTATGTCAAGCACAGTAGAATTACTACAGGACAAGTAATTCATATTAAGAATATCCTAACTAAACAAAGCCTAGGGTTTTTTAGGGATATTTTCCCCAAAAAAGAAAAAAAAACAAAATCAACCAAACACACTCAAAATCTTTCACAGAGGATTGTCCTCAACTCCTTAGGACAATCCAGCAAGAGAAGCCCCAGATCTGCCCAAGCAAAATATTCTGCTAAAAAACCCATTTCTGTCCCTACTTTTTGTAATCTGATATGGACTGCAGTCACAGTTTTGCTTCAAAGCTACAACAGCTACAGTATTCAGAGCGAAGCACGACTTGTTCTATAATACAACATAAAAATACCTCCTGTTCATTCTTCCTTGAAAATTATAACCAGAAAGGATATTTTTTCCCTAAGATTTTACTATTTTTTTCTATTACTGTTATGGCCTGTTAACATCCTCCCACGTTTCCCATGTCCTCGGCTCCTGCTTTTCTCAAGAAGGGAACCAAGTATCCAAGTCATTAGCCCAAGGAGCACTTGACACCCCTAATAACCCATTCCTGTCAGCTGCTTACTCTCATTGTCACCACAGCATTGCAAACACCAAGACACGACTAGCAGATACTGGGGAAGACGCAGGGAACCACTGAAATTTTCAACACCCAATTCAGTAGCAGGTAATCGCCAAATCCTGGCCCACCAATCCTTCTTCAAAAGCATCCCTTCCCTGGCTGTACATTTGCACTCAAGTCACATTGGCAGCATTTTCCTTTCCACCTTACTCTCCTTTTATCCCTGTAAAGCTCTGCATTAATGCTCATTAATCGGCCTGCCTGACTAAACAACAATAGAAGTCCATGCTCTCATTACACTCCTTCAGCAGGAGAGCACTGGTGGTACTCAGGAAGTGCTCCTTGTGGTACAGCTCCATCCAATGCAATTGGGTTCACGTACTCCAAGACACTTCATGAAAGAAGCCACAACACGCAAGCGAGATCCAGAGCCTCCCTATAAAAGCACACTCCCGGAAGCAAATTAACACACCAACGCAGGCCACCATTACTGATGCAACTCATTTAATCAGCAATTACACACGTTTTTTCGCCTCTCCAGCTACCTTCCTGTGGGTTAAGTGAACTGAATCCACTAACCCACGAGCCAGATGGAGCCAGTGTAAGAGAAGGGGCATGAACACACACAGTAAATCAGGAAAGGGCTTGAAACAGGAGAGAAAAGGGACCTTTCATTTTTGGTGGCAGCCTGTGGTGGTATCAGTGCAATCTACTCGTGTTTTCACCATTAGGGCTCTGCATAGAGTATTAATTGCTGTTGGAAAAAAACTGTTCAAGCTAGATCTTCACAAATGGATGGTCAATCTTGGAGAGGACACAGAGGGGCAGAGGTCTGAAATCTGCATTCTATATGAATCAACCTACATTCTGATGGCTTTAATAACATTTAAAAAAATCAAATTAACCTAGAATTCTTCAAGTACAAAGAAAAGCCACTCCTTCTAAATGAACTTAAACTTGGTTTATATCCATTTTTCTAATGAATATGAATTAGTCTCACATACAGAATCTAAGCTTGGACTGAGTTTGAATAATAAAACTATAACACTACAGCTTTCCTCAGAGAAAGTGCTGTTAATTTGACTAAACTGCCAGTGATATTTTATTAAGCAGTACTGAAAATGTTTTGTGTACTGCACTAAAATGTTATGAACAACGACTTCATATATTTAGTCTTAGATATTCAATTAAAGAGTAGGTAAAGACATCACTTTAAATCAGGCCTTCCACATCCTGCTGAAAGACCTATCAAGCGGCTGTTCGTCACTGGGAAAAAGGGGGACAAGAAATTTTCTGTGTACTAATATTTGATTTGCTCTAGGTTTGGCGACGTCCAAAGCTAACTTAAATATGCTCAAACAATTTCTAAGAATATGGATAGGAAATGGAGCCATGGGCAAAAAAAAGTTAAAGATCAGAATAATGCCTTAGAAAAAATAGAGAACACAATGAGGCAAAACTGTTCACTTCTCTTCCTCATCCTCCATCCCAAGGAAGAAGATAAATAAGAAAAGAATAAAAGACAGGGAAAATAAAGCAGGCACAAACGCAGAGAAACCTCTATAAAAAGTAAAAGCTTCTATAACTTATATAGAATATTCTATGCTTTTGAAAAACAGAAGAAAAACATGACATACATGCCATACAGATTATATTGCTCAAAAGCACTGACAGATGCTCAAGTGATCATAGCAACATAACAATTTATAGTGTGAAGAACACTTGGGACAGAAAATCGCATCAAGGAGAGAAAATGAGGCACAGAGAAAAAAAAAGACACAGTAGCACTGCAAGAGATAAAAATAGCATCAAGAGAAGAGCAGTGTGAAGGAAATATTGTCAATTGTTTGCTTCCTTTTACAGAAGCGTTAACATGAAAATATTAAAATAAAATAATGCTACGTTAAAGCGTGCTACAGACGTCATCATTAGAAAGTCAAATGTAGTGTGTAGATTTTGAGGGAAATGAGGAATTGGTATTTTGACACATGTATTTTTCACTCTAATGAATTGTGCGATATTTTCAAAGCTGTAAATAGGACAGTATTATGAACATCTGACAGTGTCTGTGTTCTTTAGAGGATTTCACTTCAAACCTTTGGTTATCACTGTTACCACCTACAGGTCATAATGCTGATTCCATTTTGGATCAAGTGTATTCTTCACAGTATCTGTAGAATGGCATTGGCCAGATCCGTCCACCACAACCTTAGCAAATGGATCAGGAAGTCCTAAGAGGAAGAAAAGAAAAAAACTAGCAAATAGATCAGGATGCTTTAAAGTCCAGTATCATTGCACAATTATTTTTTTAAAGTGTCTTATTTGAAGCTGCCTTTTACTCATAAGTGAGAGCCATATTTAATGAATAGGAATAATACAACATAGTAAGCACAGAAAATAGATAAACTAGCAATTTATTTCACAGGTATAGATCAAGAAGAAGTTGTACAAGTCCAGCACTTTGGGGGAAAAAATCTGAACACCTTAATCTTCCTAATTCAGGATTGAGTAAATTCTCAGTATACAAAGAATTCAGCAAAATGCAGAGAAAACAGATTTACATACTTCCTGTTTTCAGATTAATTATAATCATTTTGGTTGTTATTGGTATTACAGGAAATTGCCTACAGCAGATTATTCTTGCTTTGAGCTCCACTGTTTTCTGCTAGCTTTCTACTTCATTTTCTGCTACTTTAGTACCTCAAAACCACTCAACACAGGCTCAGCTGATCAACAAAAAAATCAATGCAAAGATGGTGCTGGGCTACACAGCTGAAAACAGGAAAGAAGCAGGAGCATAGCAGCCTACAATTAGCTCTACTGCAACTAACCTACTAACTCACTCTCCTGCTATTCTAACCAACCTATTAACTGACCCCAAAAGGGATGGTCCCACTGCTAATGCCCCTAAGTCACACAGTCCTAGCCCTTTTCCCCCTCATACTAATTCCTCCACTCATCTGAGCGCCCAGTGACTCAGCTGAAGGAACTAAGGCTGTGAAACATTATTCACGTTTTCTGTAGCACAAGTCTTGTCCCTGTTCTGCTTCCTCAGGTGATTCATGACGGAGGCAGTCAAACAGCAGAGTGGCTCAAGACAAGTGTCAGACAAAGCACGTGGGGATAAAGGTAAAACACCTGGGGAAAGGGAGGAACATCCTTGCGAGACTTGTGCTTCAGTGCAGAAGTGCATCACGGATTTCAAAACTTGAGGGGTATTTTTAGGCATTATTAAACTGTTAAACACCTGAAAACTTTCAGTCAATAAAAAAATCCAGATACAAAGCAAATTTTAGAAGTATGACAAATTACAACCTAATTCTGCATCATTCCTTCTTCAAGTTAATTTCAAAGTTCAGGTCTTTCAAATTCTTCCTACTCCCACCCAGGAGGCAGCAAGCAGGTGATGTGCGTGCATGCCTACATAGCCAATAACATTCCTTTCTGCTCCTTCATCTACCTCTTAGCGCTTCTTTCAAAACATTATTAAAATTAATGAAAATATAATTTCAGAGTGGGTAATTATTCTGACATGATTATTAATAATTAAGATGTAGATCTGTTTGCTGGACAGAAAGTTATTACTTCTTAAAAAATGTGGCACTAATTGAAAAATATGTAATTTGCCTGAGAGAGAAAATTTGTTTCCCACTCAAGACCAAAGAGTCTGTCAGCGTTTTAATTATTATTATGAATCTGTGACGAGCATCACATAAGAAAAAACTATAAGCCCCGAAATTAGCTAGTGTGAAAACATCAAAGCCCCCAGCCCTCTTTATGCAAATACCTTAACACACCTTGATCATCTGCAAACACTGATGTACAGAACTTCCGTAATATTTGTTCCATCTATAAGTGTGTAAGACTTTAACAGCTACTTACGGAAAAAATCCTTTTTCACCAGGTTTTTTGCACACAGTACTGTAAGAAAAACAGAAATACAAAATTAAGTTACCGATTCCCAACTTTAAAAAAAAAGTCACTTTACCTGTCCAGCATTCAAAAAAATCCTGCTTAAAAGAAAACAAGTGAATATAAAAAAATTGTGCTCTTACATCATTTATATTGTAATGTAGAATAATTCCTGAAAGCTGAGCCAGAAGGGTCATCTTTTGGCAATTTACCTTTAGGTAGACTATAGTGGAAGTGATAGGGTAGTGCTTTCCTCAGGCAATAACTTCACATGCCTTATTTTTTTATTTTATTTTTTTTTCCTTCTCAATGGTTTTGCCAGCTCTGTGTTTACCGAGGGAGAGAACCGGGCTGTTTCCAACCAGCTCACCATACAGTGGCACAAACAATTGTGCCAGTAAAATTAGTGGCATTGCACAAGCAGGGTCTTCTGTTCAGCTCTAGAGAGCAGCAAAAGCTCCCTTGACCACTAAAAAGCACATTAGACAGTCCAGGCTTTTCTGCTACCCTGTGTGGAAACTAAATAAAAGCTTTTACCTGAAAAACATTTGGGTGGAGTAGATTAACTTCCAATGCCAGAGTTTTGATGGCTCCAAAGATACATTTTATTTGTAGAAGTTGATAATTGTTTCAGGCTTTTTTGTTTAAATTAAAAGGGAGGAACAACTGCATTTCTAAGCTCAAAATACCAAGGGGAAAACAATCTCATATTGAGTAAATAAAAATAAATAAATAGATAGGTAAAAGGTCAAAGGGGACAACTTTCATATAACGATGCCAAGGTACACACCGAAGACTTCTCACAAAATACACCATCGCTCAACTACATATGTCTATTTATTTCCACAGATTTAGTAAGCAGGAAAAACTGTATTCCCTTGTGAAACATTAAAATATTTACTGATAACACAACAGAATTCTTGGGTCTTGAGTGAAAGCGTGAATTCCCACTGCTAGGACAAAAAAGAAGAAAAAAAGGGGAAGGGGGAAGAAGTTGGAACCAATGCTGCAGAAGCCTCCTCAGTATATGATTCCCTTGGATATTTTGTCTATGAGTTAGCCAATATTATTACTTCCAGGAAATGTAAAGACAGAAAAGCACATCCAAAAATCACATCCCACAGACACCACCTAAACCCAAACAAAACCAGTCACGCTTTCCCCCATAGAATATCCTCTAATTGATCCTGCAGGGCTACTGATTCTCCAGTTTCTTTTACAGTATCTGCCCAAATACAATTAGGCGGAGACGGTTCCTGAGCAGTCTTGGAGATTGCCACAGTCAGGGCAGAGAAGCACCACCCAGAAGAGTCCTGATGCAGCACAAAGTTACCTATCATTCTAAATCAATGAAATTAACGTTTTCCCAATTTTTTACATTCATAAAGATGTTGACTTTAGAGAAATGCTTTCCATGGGAATTCAGCACTGTAAAATATATATACAACTCTGCTTGGGTCTAACAAGTTTTGGTCCTCCATAAAACAGAAGGGGACACCTATTAATGAGTACAGGTAGTCATTAAACAATCCCCTGCACATTGAGGAAAAGTGCTCCTAAAAAAGCTTCAGCATATTAGTTTGATGTAAGGGGGTGCTAATAACATTACTGTTAACCTGGAAAAATATAATGCCTGGTTCCAGGTTGGTATTAGTTGGGTTTTTTAAAAACATGATAAAGGTAAAATAATTCTTTTTCTCCAAAGACATAATGGTAATCCTAAAGCAGAGCTCTATTTAAGGGATTTTCACCCCATAATTACACTGTAAACAGTCAACAGTAGTAAAATACAAATAGAGCACCAAATGTCTTTGGTATTTTTGAGACCTGGAGTTCAAGCATAGACAGGAAACTGTCACATCACTCTGCTCCACAAAGCATTCAAATAAAGTCCTTAGAATGGTGCAATAAAAAGCCACAGTTACCAAAGACTTCCATGTGTCCAGCAATTTAAATTCTACTTTATCCATGCAATTAATAACAACTTAGAAGACATTTAAAGAAACATAATAAGACAAACTTAGAAAAATGCTTCTGCAGTTCTTTAAGATTTTATTACTCCAAAAGTATCCTTAGCCTGAGTTGTCAACAGACACCACTTGCCCAAGAGCAGAAAGAGGTCACTGTTCACCATCATACATCTAGTGGCGAAAAACTTCAGGTAAAATAGATACTTATGTAGATGGCCACTTTTTTAGATAGCTCAAAAAGATATAATTACTTGCACAATTTCACCTATTACAAGAAACAGGAAGTGTCCAGAGGAGTTGAAGACTTTAAATACAACAGTTAAATTAAAATTCATCTATACGACAGTAAGCCATACAATATGCTCCTGAAATCGTACAATGTCCAACATGAGAGGTTTGACTAATCTTTTGAGAGAGAAATTGCAAGGTTAACTAACTATAAACACTTATTTTCAAAATATTAAGCAAGCCTGCCAGTGCAATTTAACCCAAGTCTCATTTTTATAAGATTAGGCATAGGCACAAAATACAGACTAATAACCATTTCCCCAACAATTAGACACGAGTGAACAGCCTAATATTTTTGGCTCAAGACTTCCCTCTCTAGTAACCACATTTAAGGAAATTCAGATGTCAACCCATTCTGGCTTTGTCAGGTTATAAAATCAGGAGAGACGCTCAGAAATCTTCCATTAACAACACCCTCTCTGCCAGGTATTTCTAGGTGAAAAAGCCCAGGTCCCAGGAGCATCAGCTCAATTCTAAGTGAAACAATCTTCTTCCATGCACAGAGGTCTCATCTATTTCAGGGCTTTTTTTTGGCAAAACTTTTCCCACGATGGGAAAAACACCAGTGTTTTATGCTCCACTTTTCTAACAGTTTCAACACTCTATTAAGATCTATTCTGAATATTCTGATAACCAGCTGATTAATAGTTCCTTGAGAATAAAAACTAAGGAAGTTTGGTTTCCTATGGATGTATGTTTTACGGTTGACTGAAAACCATGGCTAAGGCTTTTCCCACCGGGTCACGCATTTAGACAGCCCCTCTCCCACACAGACTCTCCTGTGGTCTCGCAACACAGGATCGCTCGCTGCAGCTTTTTCCTCTCATTTCAGGTCACTGCTGGGGTCTCTTCTTTAGCCAGGCAACGATTCTCATAAAACTCATGGGACTTAATTATCTTTGAGAACTCTATCCTATGTCAAATTTGAGCCAAAGATTCAAAAACCAGAAAAAAACATAGCAAGATTTATTTTTCATGACAAAGCCAAAGTAAAATGCTGATGGTTCTGGACCCAAACCCACATCATTATCATATCTATGCAGTTGCATCATTAATAGATCCTCTAGAGGTACAAAGACACTGATGGAGGTTATTTGTATGTGCTTGTGCTTGTTTTAAAACATTTATTAAAATTATTTTAAAAAAAAAAAAAGTTAAGCTATTTAAAGTTGCACTGAAGGTTTTCAGAAACACAAACCAATGCCTGTACATTTTGACATTGGTTTGAAAAAAAAAAAAAAAAGAGGAGGGAGCATTACACCATAAATGCATCATCAAAAGACATTAATGGCTTCTAGTACGCATATATAGATAAAGTACTTATTACAAAATATCAATGAGTCAGTGGATAGCTATGTTTTGTATTTATTACAGACTTCCTGGGTAGTCTACAGAAAAGAGAACATTAATGTTCCAATTTGAAGGAACAATACATATGTGCCAAGACAAACATGCACATCAGTTTTGCATACTATACGTTCACTAAATATCTTTTTATCGTGCCTTATGATCTCATTCTAACATATGCTACTCAGGTCAGTTGGCAGAAACATGAAAAGAGCATAATATTATAAGCTACCTAGTCTCCTTCCACGTCTGCTTTACTCCACATAGTTCTCAAATAATCAAAAATAGGAATTAAGTGAATCACGTTTGCCAATTTCCTTTTTCTGATTTATTACTGCAGTAATGGTTTAGACCATTAGGGACTAAGAATGGTTTAATGAAAAATAATTTAACTATTCCAAGTAAATGCAAAATGTTTAATATTCCCAAACTTCTGTAACCTAATTTGTGAGCTAGCTATTAAAATTTATATGCAATTGTAGAGGGGGATGAAATAATTGGTTGAACCCACAAAAAAATTTGAAAGGAACTATGATTATTGAAAATGTGAATTTTATAGAAAGATAAATATTTTTCTCATTTTCTGAACTCTTCTTACTCTCTTTGCTAGGTACCAAAGAATTCTTTTTTTACAACTGCTTTTTACTTTGGAATAATTTTTTCAGAAAATCAAGCTTTTTATGACATCAAACTGCTGTTATGGAAGGTATCCTATTTATACGTTACCACTATTTGATATAGGTATTAAAAAGTACGTGTATTTCAGCATAGTACACATATTTAACACAAGGTCTCCATACCTAAAGGGAAAAACCTGAAGTGGAGAGTGCTATTGTAGGAAGCTTGCAATAAAAACAAGATCTACAAGATTTCAAAGAATCACCACATCTTAGATATGATCTAAGAGTCTTCAGTGATCCTATTCACCTTCAATGGCAAGGTATCAGACCCAGAATGAGCGTGGAGGATGGACACCTTAAGAAAGAAAATGTTATATGAGTTTAAGGAACCTGGACATTCAAGTTGTATTCAGTCTGAATGGGCAGTTCCAATCTATATCAAATAGTTTATAGCCAATTCGTTCACTACATTATTTCACACCTGCACAACAGGAATTATACTACTTTACCACACAGGTACATTGCAGTTGCAGTGTTATATTACCCGTATATTTGTCTGCTCTCATCTACCTGTTGTGTCTCTTGATTTATGACAAATTTTAAGGTTTAAATGTGTTTGCACCCAGCAACATGAGGCACTAGTACCTCAGGGCTACAGTTGCAGATGATCCTAATAGAAATATGTTGGTTTAAAGTTTTCTGTATTAAAAATTAATCTTTTTTAAGCTATCTTCTTCAGTGATTATTTTTTTAATGTCTATATTGGAAAGGCACCAAGACTATC